GACTAAGCTCACTAATTAATGTAGCCAATTGATCAAATGAACTCTAACTTTGATTGCCTTCTGACTTTATGCTTAACATTCTTACTGCTAAAGATAACTCTAAATGTGCACACCCATCCCATAAAGGCTTGTTTGCTACCTCTAAAACATTATAAAACTTTGTAACCTCTCCATTAGGTTCTTGTTCGGCTTCAAAATTATGAAAAATTCCAAATTCAGGACCAACAACATCATAAACCATTTCTTGATAATGTTATTGCTTTCTTCCTAACTTACTTGACCTACATCCTCACCTGATTCCAATATATTTGAATTGCCTACTTGATTTTCTAAATTAACGACTTCCCCATGTTCAGTCCATATCCAATAATCATGTTTAAATCTAAACTTATACAAATCATACCTAATTGAATCAATATCCAAAAAATTTTTACACTTGCACTTAGAACACGGACACCTAACTTTTTGGTTGGTGATGAATTGCTGCGAATTACAATGAATTCCTTTACACCGTCATACATCTACTGACGATTTCTGAGAAACATTTAGATCAAGAACTATATAAACCTAATACAAATACACAATGTAGTATCAACCTTCTATTATACATTACACAAATTTTTAATATGAATTTTGGCATAATCTCCCCTAATACATGTCAATTTCCTTACTTTTGTTTACACATTTTTTACAAAAATCAAAATTTTCACCGTACATAACTAATATATTATATAACAATATATTAATCAATGCATAAAACACAAACACATCACAATCCTAAATTGTTCTAGAGCACATCCCCTTATAACTCCACAACATGCATATTCTACAAACTCCACAAACACAAAAAATTACACAGCACACAATAATCAGGTTCGAAGAAGGACCTCTACGCCATTCTCTCCAATCATAAAATCTCCAATCATACAACTCTATCTTAGAAATTTTAAGTATCTAAAATACATCAAAAATAAAAAATTAAACTGATTAAAAGTTAGAGTATCGTATTAGGAACACAATGATGCAAATTATCTTTCAAATGAATGCTCCAATCACTCGCAAAGGTCAAAAAACTGAAGCTCCAAGAGAGAGGCGAGAGAGAGAGGAAATTATGCAAAATGAGGAAGAAGAATGAGGAGACGCAGTTTTATGTGTTTCGCATATTACAGATAGAAAAATCCATCTGTAAATGTTTTAATGAAATAGTGCGTTTTAAAAGTTCAATTACAGACAGATTTATCCGTCTATAAATTCATCAAATATAGTTATAGACGAAAAAATTCGTCTGTAAATTGTCAGGTGTAAAGTCGGTCAAAAATGACAATATTTACAGATGAATTTTCCTGTCTGTAACTCTCGCTCCAAATTTCTCTCCTATTTTCAAATTACAGACAAAAAATTTGTCTGTAATTCCTATCTATAATACTTCGTGCCAAATGGCGGGCCAACTACAGACGACCATTAAATCCATCTGTAATACAGACGGATTTTTCAAAAAATTTAAAAAAAAAAAAAATCTAAAAATCTGTCTGTATTACAGATGAATTTTTGTCTGTCTGTAATGTCCGTCTATAAATAGCACTTTTCTAGTAGTGAACTGTTATGAAATTATCGTTCTCATTGATCTTGAATTCCCTAATTATCACAATAATATATAGTTATTATACAAAAAGTATGTTTAGAGAGTATTAACTTGAATTTATTATTCTTTTATGTTACTTCCTTTTAATATTGTTGAACCTTTAGTATTTTCACTATCTTTTTTTTTCTTTTAGCTTATTTTTTATAGTTGAGAGAAAGTTCTTTTATGATTACAGTAAGACGGTAAAATAATATGCTCTTTATTAGAAAATGTTGTAACCTTTATTTGGTACGTGAGATCATCAAAGACCATGAAATAATAATTCGTATATTAAAAAATATTGTAACCTCTATTTATTAATCACTCTTTTATTTTTATGCGAAAGGAGATGAGAGGATTTCTTTATATTTAACTATTAATCACATTAAATTTTTAATTAAAACCATTTTATAAATTACTCGAGAGTATTTTATATATAACATGAAGGACTATTTTGTGAACATGAGTGTTATACACATTTATTATTTATTACAAACGGAAATGACTTCACCTTGTCTACCTTTTTCTAGTCTTCAGTCTTAAACAAAGAAAAGTATTTAATTGCATGTAAATTTCATAAAAAATATATACTTGGTAAATTATGCGACATTAATTTTAAGAGATAAGACAAGACGTAAAGTCACATGCCTAATAAATAACTATTTCTAACCTTGACAAATTGTTGCTCCTTTTCACACCCAGATTTAGAAATGTTGTCATAACAAAAAAGATATCTGAAAATAGTAGTATAAAAGCAAGTTTATTATGCTGTTAGTGCTGTGTTTCATGACAATTAAAAGCATAAAAGACTCAGTACAAGAAGACGCCTTAAAGTTACGCTCACATTTCCAATTTCCTTACTTTGTTGCACATCACTTTCCTTTCTGAAAATCTACTTTCGTTTTTTTTTACCCATTATTTAGATAGAGCTATTTGTTCATCAAAATATATAAATAAAACTAAGAATTGCAGCTTCATCACATTCCATCTTAAGACATCATATTTTAATTAAACTCAAAGCATTTAGCTTGCAATTTATTGGATGGTTGATCGACCATTCGATGATAAATGTTTACGCAGTTCGTCCGATAAGAGTATGCGGTGCTGTTGACATTATAGTACATTGCACAATAACTCTCTAAAGTATGTCCAAGCTCAAAATACTTTCTAAGATGCCTAAATTCTGTTTATGAACTTAATTAATTTTGAAATTTCTTTCTAAAAAATTGATCATTTTTTCAATTTTTTTTATTAACAATAAAATGAAATATGGATTCAATCATAAACCTGTAATTCCTTAAATGAAATAAAGTTTCATTTTAAAACTTCAAAGTCATAGAAATATTTATGCAAAAACATCATAAAGGTTTGAAATTAACATACAAAAGTATTTATAGTTATACAAAATATATAAATATAAAAATAATTAATATTACAAGAATTCGGGAGTGGTAGTGTCCATCTCAAAATGTTTAAATACATACACACATTAACTATTGCATTATTTAAGGAAAATGCAAAGAAAAATAAAACTGAACAAAAATTAAAACAAAATAATAAATGGGTATCAGCTTTTCAAATGAAATGTATTCTCTACCTCAACTCATCACCCTAACCTCTTAAATCCACCATTAAAGCTCATTTTTTCAAATATTTCTTTTATTCTCCCTCAACTCACCATTGTCATCCATGGAAGTTTCTTTTCTTCAACTCATCCTCAATCACAAACAATTCTTTTCCTCTCTATATTTCTTCTTCCTCTCCCTAAATCCACATCCCTAACAATGTAAGAATCCCTCCACTCTCTATCTTTCATTCTCTCTTTTTATTTTCGTGTCCTAATTCTCAGATTCACAAATCTAAGGATTATTTTTTAATTCTAAAAGTTTTACATTTTCTTTAGAGACTAGAAGAGTGTTTGTTTCCTTTTTAAAAAACAGTTTTCAGTTTTTAAAAATAAAATTCAATACAAAAAACAGTTTTAAGTTTTTAAAAGGGAAACAAACACTCTTTGGGTCTCTTTTTTTATCCCGTTTTATATTTTTGGGCTTATCTGGTGGCCTGAAATTCTTTTTTCTTTCTTTATTGTTGAATTTTGTTGACCTTTTTTTAGGTTGTCGTGACCCAATTTTTTTCCAAACAGTAATTTTTTTGTTTTTTAGCTTTTTGGTAGTCTTAATTGTAGCAAACAGCATATTTTATTATTCTTTTTTTTTAAATGTATTTTGTCTTAACTTTGTCTTTGTTTTAATCCACCAGATCTTGCTCCTTACTGGACCCTTTCTTCGCTTCTAAGTGTTCCATCCCTGCGGGGCTCCTGATATGCATGGGCTTCCTAAGTGAGAAGCCTCTCTGTTGCTTGGTCAAGATACTTTGTGTCTGGCATCACCCTTCAAGCCAAAGCTGATGGTGGAGAAATTCCTAGCAGAGCTGCACAGTGCCCCTTTCTTCAAGAGTGTATCTTGAAAACCCTAGCAGAGTGTTGACAAAATTAAATTTAAACAAATAACTAAAAAAAAATTAATTTTTCACTTTACACTTTTTCAGTTTAGATGATTCAATGTTCCTCAGCACCTCTCAACGCATGTTCTTTCCCTTGTATTCAGCTATAGTGAAAACCACAAAATCTAAAGCAACTTGGGCTTAATGTTCGATAAAAGAAACGAGGGAAGTTACAATATAAAAATATTGAAGGAAAAAATTCCTCAAAGATAAACTTCTTCCGTATTAATAAGGAATCCTTGAACAATCTAAATACCTAGATTTAGTGACAGAATTTCCTGTTATTACCATATTATATTCCACTTTATTTGGTGATAAATAAAGCATGTTATTCCTTTTGAGCCTTAAAATTGGCGTCACAATTCCAATTTCCCTATTACTCCGCAGCACACCATGGCCTCCTTTATGAGAATGCACTTTCATCTTCAACCTATTTTTCAGTCAAGAGTGCCCTGTGGTTCATCTAAATAAACATATAAGAGCCGCAGTTTTATCCTTTTCCCCTTCAGGTAGCTCAAATATTTTTATGTAAAATGTACAGTTAACATTAGATTTAAGTACACTCAACAATGTTTACCAATTTATACTGAATTCTATCAAAATCAACTTTATCCAACTTTAAAACCAATAGACCTAAATATTACCAATATTAAATCGATATTTAGTTTTCATTTTTTGGGAGTCATAATTTCTGCAATAATAAAGAAATTCTACGAACCATTTATCAATTTAAAAGGATTAGGCAAACAATTTCTCTGTAATTATCATTTGCTTCAACTATTTTATTCACACATCAACAAAGGTAAAAATTGCGAAATTTATTAAAAAAAACGATGAAAATAAATACTACACCTCACTGTCACTATTCTTTTTGTGAACATTCTTTATATTAATATAGAAAGGTACAAATTAGTGCTGATTGTAAATATGCATTAACCAAATTATCGAACTATTGAGGAACCGCAGGAAACAGATGTGGAAGACATGTAAATGTCCAAGCACAAGTATTTGGTAGTACAGAGAAAAATGATTATTATCAGACATATATGGAAAATCCATATAGAAGGTTAAACAAAAGCAAAGTTCAAAGCAATAATAATCACCAAAATCAATACGCTAGTCTAGGATCCCCAAATCCACCTTATTGTTGCAAATGAAGCAAAAGATGAACTAGGCAGAAGCTGTCTTCTTTTGCTGGAAAATGACAGCGTACACAGGAACTGCAACACCAATGCTGAAAGCAGTGAACACAGCAAGGGACATTTTCAACTTCTGATGCTTCATCCTGTCCAAGTTGTACATGTGCTTAGCATGAATATAATATGGCTCATCATGGGCATGTCCACCTCCCATCCTCTTAATGCCAGTTGAATGAAAACTTCTGCTCACTGTCAACACAAATTATTCTCAGTAAGAAGATTGAACAGTCGCTTTCCTAGGTTCTAAAAGGTTATTGTAACACAAATGTGCACATGTGTGCACAGACTCAGATATCAATAAAAGTTATTAATGATTCTTAAAGAATTAATTATTGATAATATTTTACTAAAATGAATGTCCATTTGCATCTAAATTCAAAAGACATGCAAGTTTTTGTGAATCAGCAATGACAGTCTGAATAGCTGGGAGAAAGCAGGCAATCAATTCCCATTGTGGTTGTTACGGTTAACACACCATTAAATCCCATTTTTGCACCATTGTTGCTCAACTAGCCTTCAGAATTTTTAATGTGATTTAAATTTCATGCTCTTTCCCCCGTGTTCACAACCCTCCAGTCAAGGACCCACTAGATTGCTGCTTTGTCCCTGCATACCACCCATGTCTGGCAGGTGACACATTTTCTAGCAAGGCCCCTCTTTGGTGCAGCCATGGAATCATCTAAGCCATAACAAGCCACACAGCCTCTGCCTCAGTCTGTCATTATCATTGACTTGTTAAATTATGCCTTAGATTGATAGTGATTGACTTGTGTACCTAGACCATGACTCTTGATTTTTAATGATTATATGTCTTTAGTTTGGGTGATCATTTTTACTTTTCAGCATTTAAATTTGTGTAGTATATGTTACATATTTTATCCATTACCACTGATATGGCAGCAATCCCAGTATAGCTTTAATGGGGTTAGCTACTCCTTGCAGCAATTGAGATTGATAACTATGATTATTATTTTATAGATATCATATTAAAAGCTCAGCTAAGTAAAGACCATTAAAATACAGCAATTCACAAGGAACAAACCAAAGGACTCCCCAACACTCTTTCCTCCATAGAAAACTCCATTAACAAAGATTTAACACTTCCCCTCCATTTATTAACACAAAGCTCTTCCAAAAGACAATGCCTCTGCACTATCAACATTTCCAACAACTATTTGAGCGTACAAATTCTACTCATAGCTGAACTCTGTACAATATTCAAAATTTTGAATATAAAATATAAAGAACATATAAAAATGAAACCCACTACATAAGGCTCCCCCGTAGTGGGGTATGTGTGGAGGGTATACTGTAGATGTACAGTTATACCCCCCAACCCCCACAAATGGAAAAGCAAATAAAACAAACAGAAATCTGCAAACACACAACGAGACCTAATCCACCTGAGAATCATCACTGACATGCCATAAAACTAAAAAGGGCACAAATCATGAAACACAGATCTCACAAACAAGCTTTGCTGTTGTCATTGGCAAACCCCAATCCCATTAACTTTCCTCTTGAAATTCACCAAGCTCAACCTCTCAAATCTCCACAAACATACGACACAAAACACAAAAAGGTAGTAGTGCTAGTCGAAAACCAAAATTGTGCCCCTCTTGGTCCATTTTCTACATTTAAGCACAAAAACATCCCTCAACCCAATCTAGACCAACAACTCCCCAATCAAAAGCCATAGCGCTTACCACAATCTATGGAATCGAAATTAGTGCAAAATGTGAATTCCACAATGCATATTTACAATTAATCAAGCCATACAGTTGATGTATCCCACTGATTGCATTTCGAGTGCATGAATCTCACAGTTTGCTTCAAATATTAATGAAATTATTACGTCTGATAAACATTATTGGATTATAAATTCTATTAAAATAAATGTTATTCCCCAATAATCACATCCAATACACCAATAATCATATTCAATACAGAACAATCTGCAACGAACTTATTTTATTTTGATTATTGAACAGAACACCCAAAAATTAAAAAGACCTCCCCCTTACAAATCCCACATCATCCTTAATCAAATTCACCTTTAAACAAGCATAAGAGACATCATCGTTATAGTACTATAGAACGCCCAGAAACAATTGTATCAGTTTTCGCGAACCGCAACACATGACAAGTAAATAAAAAAATAAAATAGACCTGACATAGAAAGGGAGGATTCGGAAGAAGTAATTAGCTTTGCAGTAGATCTTAGTGCGTTGTTGAAGGCCATTGATAAACACAGATTAGATTCAAATTGCACTGTTTTCCCTATTCGCTTGTAAATTTGTTTCTTCTTGCGAACACGCGAGTCTGAAAACCCTTGCTCGTTTCGTTCGTGTCTATCTAGCCCACTTTTTTTATTTATTGGGCTCGCTTGTGGTTAATTGAATTAAAATTTAAAAAAAAAAAAAAAAGGTTCATAATTTTTTCAATTGATGAAATTTTATTTCATTTAAAAAATTTATTTAATAATTAATAAAAACATAATATATCATTAATATATATAAATTTACAAAAAAAAAATACAACATAATTAAATAAAAAAAAATATTATATTTTATACATTTTATTTATTATTTTATTTAAATATTTTATTCACTAATTTATAAAAATTAATAATTGTCACATCTCAATTATATTTAGATAAATTTTTACAATAATTAAATTCATTTGAATAATTAAAAAATTAAAAGAATTAAACGTAACTAATTTAATTAAAAATTCACATAGAAAAGTACAATTGAGTAAAGAAAATGTCAATTTTTATTCTTAAGATGTAAGCAGTGTATACAGGTCTCTAAAAAAGTAAATTTAAAAAGTAAAATTAGTTCATAAGACAACATTAAATTAAAAACTTGATTTGATCCACCCACACAAACATGTATATTAAGAATGTTATATTATTTTTTGTTAACGACATTTTATCTATTATTTTTTATATTTTTAATTTTTTAATGATATAAATTTGCACGTCATATAAGTTATCACAAAAATTTAGAATACTTAAATTTTCTATAAAAAAAAATTTTAAAAATTAGATCATGACACTGATATACTTATTCACTCTTTACTTGTGTTCTCTCTTTTATTTAACTTTGAAATTTTTACTCTTGTTTAAGATTTTTCTTTTTTAATTCAAAACCATTTAAGTTCATTTGTTATAAATATCATATGCAATATGTTAAAAATATGAAAAGAAAATGTTTAATATTTTGTTAACACAAAAAATATTATTAATTATAATAACATACTTTAATTGGCAAAATATGTTTGACAATATGGCTAGTACAAAATATTATATTCAATAAATTTATTTCAAAACTAAAATCTAACAAGAAAATATGCTTCATTCATAAAACTATTAAATGAAACTTTAGGAATAAAAAAATACCAACATGCTAAAAAGTATTTTTTTTAAATAGTGTACATATTCTTTACTTGTCAATGTAAAAATAAAAGAATTAAATTAGATAAAAGTTGAATTCATAAGAAGATATTAAATATGTATTCATTATAAAATAAATAAATAAATCCCTATTATCATGAATACAAATTTTAAATATAATATTATAAAGAAAAGTAGCAACGGGTGATAACCTTGCAGGCAAAAAATAAAAAATAAATTTTTTTATCATAGATTTTTTTCATAAATATAATTTGTATGAAACAATTTGATTTTAGGAAAAATCAGATATTAAATCATATTTCAATTATTTTCACAAGCATTTGAAAAAACTTGTAAAAATAATATATGATTCTTAAACAAATTAATTTATTTTAATAAATTTTAGTTTATTATTCTAAAAATTATATCTTATGAAATATATAAATTTATCATTAAATATGTTATATAATATTATATATAAATAAATTGATCTCAATTTAATCACAATTAAATTAATTAAACGTAAATTAATATAAATATTTTCCATCAATCCAATTTTAAAACATGGATAGAAAAGGAAACCATAAGTAAAAAAAAAAAAAGTGTTTAAATATAATCTAAACCAGAAATATTCTTTTTTAAAAAGTAAAATATATTTGTAGTGGTGGGAAAATAATAAGTGTAGACAAGGATGGAATGGAAATTTGAAATTCTAACCCTCACCACAAAACAAAAATGATATTTGTGTATTTTAACAAAGAAACAAGTTACCGAGTGGAGTTGAGTTTCCCCTGCCACTAGATAGGACACTGTTGTTGACCACCACACCCTCATTCCCTGTTTCCATTTCATCCAAATTAGAGCTAAAAAGAAAAAACAAACTTCATCCACACCAATCCAATCCAAGGAAGCACAGTGGGTTGTGGAGATAAATGGCCACAGGCAACCTTGTACTATTCCCTCTGGTGCACCCCATCATCACCACCACCCCGCGTTTCCTTCATGCGCCATCACTCACTCTCTCTCGAACCGCCTTTCCCTCCCTCCTCACCGCGCGTGCTGCCGGCACCGATTTCTTGGGCGATTTTGGGGCGAGAGACCCTTTCCCGGCTGAGTTGGAGAGTGGGTTCGGAGAGAAAGTGTTGGGAAACGTTAACACCGAACACAAAATTCTCATCCCCAATATCTCTTCTCTGTCGCTCTCCCAGAAACACTGCACTCCCATTTCCCCCATACAACCTCCCATTTCAGAAGATGATGCTCAGAAACTCGTCAGAAAGGTAACACAATTCAATCTTGACGTTGCTCAGGTTTTGATTCTGTTGTGTGGATTCTCTCTTTTCTTGGGATGGTTCACATTTTAGCCTGTGAAATTGTGGACTGTTTATAGGTCTTTGCATTCTGAATAATAGTTGGTTATATGAAGAAATAAGGGCTTTCAATTTGCGGGCTTGCAGTTAAAATCTGGTGAAATACAATATTTGAATGCCATGCTGCTTTAAATTGATTAATGTAATATTTGTGATCAAAATCTACAAGTCAATTATTTTTATGCTGCTGTGCTCTGAAAAATTTATGAATAATATCAAATAAGCATTTAGTTAGGCCCTAACAGTCATGCGGTATGTTAATTTTCCGCCTCTCAAATTCTCTAATCTGATCATGTTTTTGCAGTACATTTTAGTACTACAAATTGCTGAGATATTGTTTTCAAGTTGTTTACAATGGTTGAACATGCAAAATTTTTATTTGGAAAGTGAAGTGGTGTATTATTGTTGAATATTTTGGTTACTAATAGCGATTTCAGTGGCCAATTCTAATTTAATTTGCATGTCATTTTATTGCAGTTATTTAATTTAAAAAGAATTCTAAAATTTACTAGCTGCCTGATTGCCTTTTTATTTCTTTTATAAAAAAAGAATATTAGAATGACTACCTGATCGTCTAATATTACTTTTTCCACATTCTTAAACTTACTTTCTGATCATATCTGTAGGTTGTAGGTTGGAGACTTGTGGATGAAGAAGGTGGACTTAAACTTCAATGCTTGTGGAAATTGAGAGATTTTAAATGTGGTGTTGAACTCATTAACAGGATCTCCAAGGTTGTAGAGGCCGAAGGCCATTTCCCAAATATCTACTTGGAACAACCAAATCAAGTCAGAGCAGAACTATGGACAGCTTCCATTGGTAAGTAAAAAAAATGCTCCTTTTTTAATACCACATTCTGTCTTAGGAGATTTATTTTTTGTTGCATGCCATCAAAATCCCAATATATTTACTTGTTTTGTTTTGATTTAGCATTTATTTTAGTTCCTGGTAGAGGGTTCAACACCCCCATCTCATGGAACTTCACCTAGGCCTAGCAGGTTCTAGGACCAATATATTAAAACTTGAAAATAATGCGGTTTTAATTAAACTTTTAATCTTAACGTTTATGTTTGATTATACAGCCAAAGTTTGTTCTTCTGTGTGTGTGTGTGTGTGTTCGTTCTCTTTTTGTAAAATGACATTTGAAATGGTTCAAAATTTTGCAGGAGGATTAAGTATGAATGATTTTATCGTTGCTGCAAAGATAGATGAAATAAAGACATCAGATCTTGTCCCAAGGAAAAGAGTTTGGGCTTAATGCCCACTGAACTCCGTTAAATATTTTGCCATTAGATTTTCTTCAGCAAAGAATACCACTAATTGGTATTATTTGATAAAATCTGTTATTCTTTGCCCTCATTTTTTATTGTTTCACTGCTTAAGCCTGTGTATATGTGTCATGTCTATTCTTGTTTGAATGTTTGGTAAGTGCAGTGATTCTCACAACGAAAACTATATCATAAACCAGCCACTTATGTGCCTCGCATGCATGCCAAAACTTGGAGGGTTCCACTAAGAATTGAACATTATGAATTATGACTATTTGTTTGTGTGAAAAAATACTCTACAGGTTCTGCATGAAATCTATAAAGTCTTGTAGCATAATTTTGCATGGGCAATTACTTCATTAGCACTGCCCTTAGCTGGATTTGTAGGAGCAATATCAGTTGCATTTACATTTGATTAAGAATCACATTTCTGAAATAAAAGGGATCAAAAGTGTCTATTGCTGCTTTAAAATGTTTATTATCACTCTTCATTTAAGATTTTTTTTATTTAAATATTATTGTTATTATTAATTTAGTTAATTAATAGAAAAGAGTGTTTTCTATATTAAAAAAGATAAGAAAATTGGTAATAGGTATTTTAAAGTAACAATAGATTCATTCTCAAACTACAACGCATAAGTAGAGGATGGGATGATGGATATTTACTCACAGACACTCCATTAGAATAACTTTTAATTGATTAATTGAATAAAAGTTTAAACATTGTTGTGACTTTTTCAAATACATAGAAAAACTAACAATGCATGCCATGAACACTCCTACTGTTCAGCAAATGCAGATGTAAAGGTAAAATAAAATAACTAGCTAAAATAAACACTAATAAAATGAAAAACAAATTAAATATATAGGCACGTTAATTATATACTGGATGATTGAGGTTCATATTTCATTATATCCCTAATAATTTTATCTCGCAAAAATCTGCGGAAAAACGTATTTACCAATGAACTATCAATGGAGTATTACAGATAATATTAAATATCTGGTTCTACTTCCTTAATCAATTGTAAATTATCAAACCATCAACACTAGCGACCAATCATAACTGATATCCAATAAATCCCATCAAAATCAGATTACATTAATAAATACAAAACTCTAGGAAAACGTAAGTCAGCTCATTAAAAATTTAATCATATTATGTGGCAGGAAAACAAAATAATAAGATCTCAACAGTAAATAACAATAGAACACAATGATGCCAAAATATTCAGGACTTCACAATCCCCTCTTTACAAAGATTTAATAAGATTAGTGAAAAGAATAATCTCACACTCAACACATCTGCAAATGTTTAGAAAAACATGAGTTATTAAAAAAATTAATATTATGATTTTTTAATTTTAACTTAGGTTTTAATTTGATCTTTTACTATTATCATTTTTATTTAATTTAATGCTAAAATAATTTGATAATATTTTATGTCTCCATTTGATCATAATGTACCAATATACATGTGACATAGGATTTTTTCACACCAGTATAAGTCTAAAAACTCTTATACTCAAACTGAACATTTTATTTAACTTACATCTAACAAGTTATAATTTATTACTTTACTAATCATTAGATATAATTTATTACACATTTAACTTATACTAATTTAAGAAGATCCTTTCCACACACACATTAATGAGGCAATATTGCAGCCTCCTTTTATTCCTAAAATACACATGTAGCTATCTTATTTTAATTCATATATTAGCAGGTCAAATATACACATATATTCTTTCCCTAACTATAACATACACATAAATATTGTCCTACAATATAATGTTGTCAAGCATTTCTGCAATAGTGCTAGATGTGGAGTTGATATACTCGTATCAGGCTAGATTTGGGTTTGATATACTCGTATCACCCTACTCTCAAGTTAGAGCATGAAGATTCTAAATGTCCAACTTGCATAGTATTGCACTGAATTGGCTAGCGCCTAATGCCTTAATGAAGAGGTCAGCAAGTTCAGCGTGAATTGATACATACGAGATGAGAACAATTTTGGAGAAGTTCATTTCAAACAAAGTGACAATCAACTTTAATATGCTTTATGCGGTTGTGAAACACGAAATTATTAACAATATGGAGTGACAACTTGATTATCACAGTAAAGGTGCATAGGATCTGGATAAAATATGCTAATAGTAGAGAGAACGTCCTTCAACCACTTTAATTCACAAGTCGTGGTGGCCATGGATTTATATTCTACTTCGGTAAAAATAGTGCAGCAGCAACGACAAAAATAGTGCAGATGGTGACCATTTTGGCTACAGGAGCAAAATTGTCATTATAATCGATCCCTTCAATTTGATGGTTACCTAAGATGACCAAGCGTGCCTTGAACCATTCAATACTTCCATTTGAGTGATATTTGATCTTGTAAATTCACTTAAATCCAAGGACTTTCTTTCCAAGAGGTAATGTGGTAATTGTTGGAGTTGATGAAAATAGTACATCTTGGAAATCCCACATTGTTTAAGGTATGTTAAAAAAAAGTCTCATATCACCTAGGATGAACAATAGAGTGCGTGAAGAAGGCTATATAATGGACTTGAGTCCATGACATTAAGGCACTCCAGTCAAAAATACTTTAAACTTATATTTGACTTTTCTCATACTCTTGTATTAAAGTGTTGTGAGGTTTAGTTTAATTATAAAGTGTGGGTGTATTTGGAATAAGGTAGAGTAGTCTATGCATTGTAAAGATTTTCACATAGTATTATTCCTTGGTTGTCATTAGACAACAATCGTGATTTTTCTTCAGTTTTGGAGTTTTTACATTATATTCTTGTGTTTATTGTTTTTATCTTATTTCTCTGTTAGAAGGATAATTCTCAAGGGGTAAAAATGATATTTCTTTTCCTTTTTTCCCAATTGTGGTATTAGAGCTTATGATTCAATAGGATATTCTTAGTATGCTTTGTGGTTGCAACTTAGTCTGATCCTTCATATCAAAAAAGATTAATTTCTTGTTGTTGGAGAATCATCCTTGATTGTTGAAGTTATAATGTCATTTGCAAGTGTTGTAAAATGTGACATAGAGAAATTTGATGAAATGGTCAATTTTGGCTTGTGGCAAACACAAGTTTCATCAAAAAGTGAGAATGGGATGAAAAAATATGAGAATAATCAACAAAAGCTTGAACAGGATAAGAAATCTTTGGAGAAGATTAGTTGGACTATGTTAAAGTAGAGATTCAAGCACTAGGGCAAGCACTACACTCGTAGTCAACAAGGTAGGTGGGACGGTGATGAGGACAATTGGAGTAGTAGGTGAGTTGGGGTTCTGGCATAAACGGTGATGAGAAAGACGTAGAGGGTGGACTAATCAATGCAGATGGAGGGATGGGGAGCGTGTGAGAGGTCAGGGATGATGGAATGAGATGATGCGGAGTGCGAGGAATATTTTCAGAAAGTTATGATTGATTTGTGTTGGATTAAGAAATAGTGGAGGTGGTGTGATAAAAATAAAAAAACTAAAGTTAGGAAGATTATTAGTTTGTAGTGGGTTTTGGTTATAGAGCTGATGAATCGAAGTAATTTTTGTAAAAAGAAAAACTATTTTATTGAATAAAACATTTTGGGAGACAAAAATATCTCTATTATTTAAATTTGAAATAATATATCCTTTTGTTCCAATTTGAAAACTCAAAAAAATATCACATCTAACGCGAGCATCAAATTTTTGGTAAGAAAGATGTGTTGAGGCATAACACAAACAACCAAACACTTTTAACATGAAAAAATTTGATTTTTGTTTGTATAATAATTCAAGGAAAGTTTAATTTTTAATGATAAGAGATAAAATGTGATTTATGAAGTAAACAACGTGTTCGATAGTATATAACCAATAATGTTTTGGATCAGAATGTTCCTATAATCAGGCCAAATTTGGGTTAAATATACTCGTATCATTTAGTCTTTTTAAGTTTTTATTTATTTATTTAATGTTTAGCTTCTTCGTTATCCCTATTATAAACTGCACGATGAATGGAACTTGCAGGTTTCAGTATAAAATGAAGCCGCTGAAAAGTTGAAAATGAGCAGAGGAGGAGACAACCTCCTTTACAATCAGCGTAGGAACTGTTTGTTTTACAAAACTTTTGTTTTTAAATTTTATTTTCTGTTTTTAATTTTAATTATAAAATTGTTAGCTTGCTTCTTCTTTTTTCAAAGATTTGTTAAGGAAATAATGAAAATTATTTTTTGTATAAATATTTGAAATAAAAAAACAGAATAAAACAATGTCATAGATTTATAATTAAAACTAAAAACAAAAAATAAAATAAATAATCTTTTATGTGTATGATAAATACTTAGAATTTTTATTTTAAAAATAATAAAATTATATTGGTACTTAGTAGGTAAGAGATTTTAGGGATAAAAAATGTGAAATTTTTCTCCTTTTATTCCTTAACTATTAGTACTAGAATCAATTCTATGTAACTGATGAAGAGAAACAAAAGAAAAACTAAATGAAGTAAAGTCCTTTTAGTTTATGAACACTAGTTAAGAGTGATTACAACAAAAATAATTTTTTAAAGATTTAGAGAAGAAGTTTTGTCAAAAAAAGAAATGTGAACTTTCGAATGGAAAGAAAATATGTTACGTAAAGGTACACATTATTTATCCAAATTTCATGTTAAATAACTTAAAGAGAAAATAAATTAAAAAATTCTACAAATATAAATATTTATTATGAGTTTTTCATTGTAACAATTTGTTGTTCTTTAAGTGGATATTTTAAACTTGGGTAGTTGTCTATCTTGAAAAGATTTATAATTTTATCTAAAAAAAAAATTGAAAAGGATTTGTAATTTTATTTGTGTAAAAATTATAAAATAATAAAATTTCATTGTGAATCCATAAATGTAGGTAAAAGCTTCTAGTTTTTCTCTATTTTTATAACAAAAGTGGACAACCTTATCTTTCTCCCTTAGTTTCCTTCTTGATGTGCGAAATGATTCTTTTAATAAATAACAAGTATATATCTAATTAATATGTCTTTTTTATTTATTAAGATGACAATAAAAGGAAAAAAATCAAATAATTATAATTATCAAACATTACCTTATTATATTATTAAGTACATTGAAAACCTATTAAAACTAAAAAAAATTGTAATAAAATAAAATAATATATTTAATCCGTCATTCTGAAGAAAAAAAAGGCTGAAAATATTATTCTATCTTAATTTTACTCTATGATGTCAGTATTGGAAAGTCTCAAATCAAACTTGATTTGTCTCTAATTAGATCTTGAATAGAGAAATTTTCAACCTAGCCCAAAGTAAATCATGTCATTTTCCTTTTATTTTTTAAAATGGTTTTACTGGATTTTTATTTATACTTTTATGCTTATTAAATAGATTGACGTAAACCGATTTTGGTTCGAGTCACCACAAAAAATATAACTAAACTACTAGCTTGAATTAATTTTTCATGAAAAAAAAAAGAAAAGAAAAGAAAAGAAAAAATGAATGTGAAAAATAAAAGTAGGCATATAATGATAGTAGCATCTGCGAACTCTTGTACTGTGCTACTGTTACACCCAAAAGATTAGAAGAGGCAAAAGTTTTTGAAATAGCTCACTCCGAAGCAGAGTGGAGGAGATGAAATTGCTATCGCCATCCACCACCGCTACTAACATTTATCTATCACCTTTCACTTTTCTTCCCCGCCACTCTCATGGTTCCATTTCACTTCTCTCTCCCCCCCCCCCCCCCTCTCTCTCTCTCTCTTCCTTTCTCTCTCTGACACGTGTTTCTTGTTTTTTTAGCAGGGTTATCTTCTGGTACCGTCAAATTGTCAAAGAAAGAGGTTTGCTTTCCAATCATCACATTTCAATTTGCTCCATTTCCACTCATACACATCCACAGTTCAAACTTTTAAGAAATGGGGTTTTCTTTTGCAATTTTTTTTTAATAGAAAACAAAGCTAATTTTTATTTATTGTTTTATCATGTGCCCATTTTTGTTGCTGCTGCTGTTTTTTTTTATTACTGCTTAGGAATGGGTTATCTGTTGGCTTGGGCTTTTTAGTCATGAACAAATGTACAAAAGATTGTAAATTGATTTGACCAATATTATAAGGTACATTTGGATAAACAACTTTTAATTAACTACTTATTCAGTAAACGCTTTATGACTTGGTGGTTGTCATAAATTTGATAATAAAAACTTATTAGAAATTTAGAATAAGCTAAAAATTTTGATAAGTTTCACCAAGAAACTTATTAAAATAAGTTATAGAGTTTATAAGAGTCGTAAACTATTTTCATAAGCCCAATAAGCTCTATTTAAGCACTTCCAAACTCCCCCTGAGCAGAAGAGCATTAATCATTTCTTTACACTGTCATTTTCATTTATTTTCTTAAACCTTTACTGTGTAATGTATGGTTCCAGCATTTGAAAGAGGATATTGGTGATTTTTCCTAGTGCTATACCATTGGTCAATTGTTGTCTTCTAGAATGTATTTTAAGGGCTTCCTAGCACTCTTCAAAATACATATCCATTTCAATCTCCAGACATAGGCAAATGTGATATATGTGATGCTAGATGGTTTCTGACTCACTCAAGGTGATGTACCGTATCTTGGGAATCCCTTATGTAAATCAATGCATGCAAAACTCAAATGTTATCACCTGTTGGCCTCGTATCCTTTTATGTCATATAGTTATTATGTAATACGTAGTAAAAAGAACATTTCAAATCTAGAAACCATTAGCAGTCTGTGACTAAATGAAAAATTCCAAGATTTTGGGTGCAAAATTGGCAGTAATGTGGAAATTAGCCTGTTAACAAAATAAATTCTGGAAAAAGATGGTCAGAGATTGATGTATTAAATATAAATGGTCAGGAATGAATGATGTTTTATTTCTCTATAATATATAAACCTCAAAGATAACCAAATAAGTAACCTTCAAGTCAACAATAAACGGCAGAACTTTGTTCAAATTTCACAGTCAATGCAATCTTTTTATAGATTAGCAGTACATTTTCAGAATTCTAATGATGTGTGTGATTGAAGATATTTGTCATATTATATGGGACCTTTTCCTTTCTTTCACTTACTGGAAAAACATGACCATTTTAGAAGTTTGTCTGTTTGAATTTCTCCCTTCCCACCTTTTCATGTTCCTTTTCGTTTTATACAATATTTTTTTAGTAGAATCATTGGTTTTCTTGCCCTCTTATTGTGAGAAAGTATGTTGATTACTACAGAGAAGATGCATAAGGAATGCTGGACCTGCTAAAATAACTGCAGAGTTTGAGCTGAAGCCACCACCATATCCACTAGTAAGATCTAAAGGTTGCCTATTACTCTATTTATTTGTCAGAATTAATTGTGGCTGAACTTTAATAGGGAACTATGTTTCAAATGAAACATCCCAATTGCCAAAAAATTCAATTCAGTCTGGCTTTATCATTTTCAAATTTATAAAGCAAAATGTTGGTGTGCAATCTTTTGTCAATAAAGAACCATAAAAGTTATATAATTGAAAAACTCATGTATCTCAGTTAGATTTATTGTGGGTGCAAAAATCTTGACTCTTGCAACTCATCAAACATGTACCATTGTTAGAATGCAAACAAGGAAACAAAGAGTTTTTAATCTACTATTTCTTGGTACTTACTGTCTCGTGGTTCTGTCTACACTTTACACATACCAGATTGTTCTGAACCTGTGTTGACCATATTACTACCCCAGTTTGATTATACTTGAGAAGCATTATACAGTCTTGATCTGATCAGTTTTGAACAGGTTATCATTATGAACCTGAATGCCTCATTGGAAGTTCTGTTGCTATGATTCCGTAGTTATTTCCATTCACATTTATTTTCTTTCTTCTAATGACCAGCTAATAAAGTTTTCCTGCTTTACCTTAATCATCCACCACTTTGTTGGAAAGTCTTTAAGTTTATTACTATTTAAATCTCTCTATGCATCATATCAATAACACTGAACTTGATGAAGCATTGCTATGAGACATTCATGTAGTTCTTGTCATAATCAAACAAATAATCATATGTCTTGTACTTGCTTAGATTTTGATGTTTATTTTGGACAAATAATAGATATTTTACCAATCCTGTCATAATGAAAATTCTCAGAGTGCTTTGGAGCCAGTTATGAGCCAGGAGACACTTGAGTACCATTGGGGGAAGCACCACAGGACTTATGTAAATAATCTGAACAATCAAATTGATGGAACCGATCTAGATGGGAAGTCACTAGAGGAAATTGTAGTTATTTCATACAATAAGGGTGACATGCTTCCAGCTTTCAACAATGCAGCACAGGCATGCATGCTTGTATGAAAAAATCCCTGTTCAGGTTTCTGAACCCTTGCTTAGTAGTCTTGTTCAACATATTGCAGGCATGGAACCATGACTTCTTCTGGGAGTCCATGAAACCTGGTGGTGGTGGAAAGCCATCTGGGGATCTTCTAAAGCTGATCGAAAGAGATTTTGGTTCCTTTGAAAGTTTCCTTGATGAGTTCAAGACTGCTGCTTCAACACAATTTGGTTCAGGATGGACATGGCTTGCATGTGAGTAATTACCCTTTTGACCATACTCATTTTCTGGCTTTCATTTTTTATTTTTCTTGGCATATCTAAAGTAGTAACTGTCCTTTCCCCTTCTTTTGTCCTTTTTTCATATATGCAATATAGATAAAGAAAGCAGACTTGATGTGGGAAATGCAGTAAATCCTCTTCGATCTGATGAGGACAATAAGCTAGTTGTGGTGAAGACTCCCAATGCTGTTAACCCCCTTGTTTGGAACTATTATCACGTAAGTAGTCACTCATAAGGATTAGTTATGATATCTGTCATTCCTTTTTTATGCTTTCAAACATGAATACTAGGGTAGGGCTGAAGCATCATGATAAAAATGTCTGACAAGATTTCATATTAATTTCATGCAGCCACTCCTTACCATTGATGTCTGGGAGGTACTAAACAAATTTATTTTTTTTGGTGATTTGAGAACATTAAAACTAAATTCATTTCCCTAATAACAAATTGCCGAGTTTTTAACAATGTTCCGCTTTTTTACAGCACGCTTACTTCCTTGACTTTGAGGTGAGATGTAGTTTCACAGTATTATACAGTGACTACTGTTTTTGATAATTTTGTTCAATAGATAAATATATGACTGCCTTGTTATCTATGCAGTACCGTCGCCCTGATTATATAGCAGTGTTCATGGATAAGCTTGTGTCTTGGGAAGCAGTCAGCTCAAGATTTGAGCAAGCTAAGGCTCTCATCGCGGAGAGGGAGAGAGAGAATGAGAGGAAAAGAAGAGAGGAAGAGAAACCAACAACAAATGGAGCTGCTGCTGAGATATATTCTGAAAGTGATTCTGACTTAGATGTGGAATGAGTTAACTTCTTTTCATATAGATGGAGTATAAAATTATGTATCCTTTGCACTAGCTAGGGGTGATATAGAGGTTCAATCACTTCAAGCTGCAAATTTTGTTCTATGATAGATGCTGTAAATTAGTGTTTCGTACATGCATTCATGATATAAAATCTGATCTTATTTATGGATTCTTTTGCAAAAATCAAGGAGTTTTGATGTTATCAGGTATAAATAAAAAACTTGCTCGGTTGAGCATTGATAGCAGTGTCTCTCGAGCCTTTGTATTTCACTGCCACCGTTTTTGCCTTGTGTAGTAAAATAATGAACCTGTTAATGAAGTAGTCCTTCGACCAAAAAAAAAATATGCAGTAGTACTTAGCCTTCATATGAAACACTTCATACTATTTTCAATTCGTAAGGAGTCCTAATACTTGCACCTGACATACCTAATGTTTATTCTCTTCATAAAATTTTTAAAACAAATGTCAAATTTCATTTCTCGAATACATAGGTAACATTATATTAGTCATTTGTTTATTAGCATTATCAAACTGGTCCTTTGATAATAATATCGTAAGTTTTCTTCTCGTTACATTTATGTAATGAAATGGATGACTCAGTGTTATCAATGTATCCAAATCGATAACCTTTTTACAGGGATTTCTCAAATGTTGCACGAATTATGTTCGTTAAATTTTTATTTTCCTATGTTAATTTTATATTTTAAATTTTCATTTAATAATTTCAACAGATGGATCAGTAATATTTTTATGCAAAGTATAGTATTTTGTGTATAAAAAATAATTTTATTCTAACTTTATAGCAAATGCTAATCAATACCTTAAAGGCACTACGAGTTAAGAAATAAAAAATGGAAGGTCCTATTTGGATTGGACATACATCCCCCCCTTCCAAATTGGTTCCGTTAAAATAAATTGTATCAAAATTCAAACCAAACGGACACCCAGAAAGTGATTCTCCTACTTATGTTCTACAAAGGGTGGAAAAAGGTGAGAGAAGAATCATTTCCACATGCAACCTGTACACATACTAGGGTTTGACTTCAAGTTGTAACATCTTTTTTATGTCAGAAGTGTTCTATTTAATCAACACCCACATAGACTATTATCCAACCATAATATTCATCTCATTAATTAAAATATATATGATAGGCTAATTTGAGTGAACAAATAAATTCAATTCACAATTCTTTTGCTAGATAACAAGTACAAAAATCCATTTTTCTTCACCAAAATTATGTGCATCTCTCAATAATTGATATACAAAATTAAATTTAAAAGATCAATCCTGTAATCAGATCAGTGTGAACATCACACTATTTACACAAAATAAAACTACATTAACTGAACAAAATTGTGTTGTTTCCATCATCTTATTGGGGATATCTTCAGAGACAAGAGGTTATCTAGACCTGAGATCTCCGAAGTATCAGAAACAGGTGGCCCAAAAACATCCCAGAAGCGAAGAGTCTCATCTGCACCTGCTGACACCACTGTCAACCCATCTGGACTCTGCAAGTGTAATTTGAAAAAAATAACTATCTTCATAATAAATATTCTCATTCATGTTTACATGACCAAAGTTAGAGTCACCAGAATAATGTGTCACGTGTGTAGGAACAAATTCAAACACTATATCATTACAAGCTCCAAAAATTCACATTGGACAATTGTGCTACAGTTTAGATTATGAATTGCAGCATACCTGACTCAGATGGAGGACTCTGGAAGCATGACGGTCCAAGCCTCCCACTTTAGTCATGGATGGATATCTCCACAAACAAAGTTGGTTGTGAAGTGAACTTGTACTAAAGCCATGACCACTTAATAGCTCCTTGTGATGTCTATTCCACTCTAATCCACAAACCTGCATAGAAAACCAGATTTCTGTAAAAAAACTGCATCTATTCAAAGGACTAAATAGTAAGCAGGTAAGAAAATGATGATAAAATTTTGGCTTCAATAAGCTCTGTCCTTATAAAAATGTTTTTGTTTTAGAATTCACCCTTATAAAAAAAATGTTAGAATTAAGTCACTAATATTTTAAAAAAAGTCAAAAATTAGTCGTTATCAAGAACTAAATCTTAACAATATTTTTGAACGACGGGGACAAAAAAATTTAGATAGACTAATTTCAGAAACAACATTTATATGGACCAAAAACTTATTTGAGCTTAATTTATTATTATTATTATTTTTGGCTAATGGCAATTCTTAACAAGCCAAATAACAGGTAAGACAGTTATTGAAACAAGGCAAAAAAATGGCTATCTTGCCTGAGCTTTGGTATCTATGCTGCAAATGCAGGATCCCTTCTGGACATTCCATATCTTAATACATTTATCTTCTGTGCCACCTCCAGAAGCAAGTACACTTGAATCATAAGGGCACCAGGCAAGTGCCTTGACTGCAGCACAATGATCCTTAAAACAGTGCAAGAAATTGGATGAGCTCATTTTAGCTAAGTCCCATACATAAATGTGATTTTCATTTCCACCACTAGCCAATATATTGCCCCTTCTTGACCACTTTAATCCACAAACTTCTGCTCTGTGTGCTTTTACCTGGCAAACCGCATTTCTTCTTGCTCTAACTGCTTAAAGGAACATGAAACAACAAAATGTTATCTCATTTAATCAGAAGCTTGCTATACTCTTAATACATCTAAATAATTAAAAGTTACAACTAAATACCATCATGGTTGATTATATATTTGTCATGGCTTCCAGAAGTTAAAATATGACCATTCCATGCAATGGTTGCTATCCTTTGATCATGACCTTTCAGGATCCTTATCTGAAAGTTAAAAATAAAGACTAGGATTTATGTGCAAACATTGTAGTGTATAACTAATTACTTGTTGATCTTAGATAAGCCAAATAACTAGAAAGATTCATACTGGCTTGGAAGTTTCAGCATCCCAGAGTTGAAGTTTAGACTGCTTAAATCCTACTGCCAAAAATTTTGCATCCTCTGACCAGGCAACACTAGCAGGAAAATCATTGTCAGTGACCTTAAACAACTTGAATACATTACTATTCTCAGAGTTCCAAAGGTACATGTCTGAGGCCAAAGCAACAGCAAGAATGTTGTTTTTCCCCCAATCTATAATATTTGTGTAGAAATCATTTCTAATATTTGGTGCATCCAACATCCTTGCTTCTCCCTGCAAGTATAGTTATCAACTTTATCAGTTTAATCAATCAGATTACAGCATGAGGTATATAGTGTGTGTTTGGTTTCACATTTAAATGGTCATGGATTCATGTTTATTTCAACGCTACTACTTGTAGCTTCTACATTGGATCCATGTTTACAAGTGGCATTCTACAATAGAAGAAACTTTATAGAAAGCATATTGACACGAACAAAACCTTAGGCATTCTACGATAGTGACGTTGATTGCTAGTGTTTTGAAATGTCGCTGCCTCTTCCTCTCGCATCTCATCGATATAACGAATGGATTTTCTGCTTGATTTTGGACTTCCCCTAAAGACTAACATCTTAAATGGCTTTCCTTCTGAATCCAAACTCAGTTTCTCATCCACTATCTGTCTGTACACTTCCTGTCATTGTAACGTAAGAGAAAAAAACAAACACAAACACAGAAGATATGGCCTTAGTACATATCACTTTAAATGAACAATCAAACCAACAGAAACAAATACAATAAAAAGGATTTAAAATTTGATGAATCAAATATTCCAGAGGCCAAAAACAGATGTATTTTGTAGAATTTGGTAAAAACACAACAGATCAAAGAAAAGATAGATATACATTCAAGAATGGTTCTCTTTATTGTTGAAAAAAAGTTAACAACTTTAGAAACACTCAAGGGCTTTCCAATCTCAATAAAAAAAAAGGGGGTGAAAGTCCAAAGAACTTCAATGGTTCAAAAGCTATATTTCTTGAACATGAAAAAAAAAAAAAGAATAAAAAATACAAATACATAAAACAAAAAAATAACTAAAAACAGGGATGAAACATCAAGGAAAGAACATACATCAAATTGTCTATTCTGAAATTTTTTGGTCCTGTTTGTGAGCAAACTCTGGGCTTGATCAAGATCCATCAAACTCCTATTGGGTATGAACCGATCACCCTTCACAGAAAAATAAAAAAAATTAAAAAAGAGGAACATGAAAATGAGATTGAGTAGTGAAGTTTGATGTATGTACTGGAAAATCATAATGAGTGGGAGGGCTGAGGAGGCTCTTGGGAGAGTACCAATCACATTCAAGATTCCACATTTGTTGCTGTTGTTGTTATTGGTTCCAATTTCCAAAAAGAAAAAGATGATTATGAGTAATAAAGGGTTAATTGTGTTCTTAAAGCGGAGAGAATGAGAATGTTGGGTCATCTCTTTCCCGCCAAATAAAGTTGCTATTCAAATATTAGTTTTTCAACCGTTGCCACATTAGTTTCCCGGCAAATATAGTTGCTTCTACTGAATCGGGTCGGGTTCGATTAGTTTTTTTTCGACGGCTTTGATCCAATTGAATTATTATTATTTTGGGTATGGCTTCCCCATGATTTAAGTGTCCTTTAATTTCTCTTCAACTTTGGGTAGAAATTTTCACTAAATTTGTTTCTGTTTTCCTCATTATTTTCAAAATTCTTAACTAGTTTGAGAGTAAAACAGAGCGAGAGAGCGCTAAGTGAGGTAAAGAATATTTTTTAAAAAATTATGAATATTTGCATCCAACTTTAAATCATTTATGATTTCAACTTTTTGTTTAAAATTTTTTAGTATTTTTTGTTAATGAAACCATTTCTATATATAATTATCGAAAAACACCAATTTGATAGCGTTATGTGTGCAATCATAAGGACATGTCTGTCTACAACATTATCCTATTATTTATTATTAGTTTATTAGTTTATTGTCTTAAGTTATTGAATTCTGGATTCCTCAAAATGAATATTTTGTGCAATGCTTTTTTTTTTTTTTTAATTTTGACATGAATTCTCCTTAAATCTTTTTTTTTTTTTTACTAAATGGTCTTTTCATTTTTTATTCATTTAATACCTTCAAATATCATAATTTTATCATTTGATAAAAATACTAACTATATCTAACGCATAAAAAAAAAATGATATTTAGCAGGATTAAATTAAAAGAAAAATTACAAAAAAAAATCACGTAACGAGAAAAATCTTTCATCAAGAACTTGTTTTAAAAATAAAATAATATGAAAAGTTAATTTTAAATATCAACGAATACAATTATTTTAAATACTCAAAGAGAACTTTGTTGTTCATAGTAGTCTTATCTAACTTGAACAAAATTGAAAGATACATGTAATTTAAATTTAAAAAAAAATAAAAAGACATGAATTGTTAAATAGGTAGTTATTTAATTGAACATTTTTTCCTAAAATTATCTAAAAGTCTCAATAAAATATGACTAATGTAAGTTGAGTAAATTCATTTAAGGAAACAAAAATTTTAGAACCTACTTTTTCATCAATATCACTAAATGGGATAAACAAACTGAGACGTCCCTATTTTCAATAAGTATTTCTCAATGTCATCCCATTTCTTGTGGTGAATAAAGAATAAATTAAAGCGTTTAATAACTACTCAATTTCAAATGTATACACATCAACATGCATATTATATTTATGTCCTCAAACACAATATTTAGAGTACATAATATAATATTACATACCGTCTAGATTATTCTCAAAATTATTTAACTATGGAACATTACAAGGAAGGATAATAGAGTATGATAGTATATTACACATAATACATAGATAAACTAAACTCCTCATCTCCTCTTGACTCCTTCCTTATTCATCCAATCCTCCTGGAGGAGGGTCGAGATCAATGCCAAAGTATTCAACTGCATGGCAGAAAGGAAAAAGGACCTTCATTCTAGCTTCTCCTTGTATAATGTAGGACTAACATAGGGATTATTAACAATAAATATAGTTAAGATAATAAAGCCTTGAAATATGATGGTTTGGTTGGAGTCATTGAAACTCCACTCTCCAGTCCCCATACTAAAGGTCATGGTACGCGTAGGATTAATTAGTGCACCTTCATTCATTCTGCATCCATATACATTTTGGACACATCATAGAAAAAGATAGGGGTGAGTACGAATATTCATAAACAATCGAATAGACAATACTCATGTTTAAACGAACAAAACATCAATTAGACATCAACAATACCAAGCATTAAACAATATATTTGCTTAAATGAACAAAATAACATTCAAGCATTAAGCAATAATCATTTAGTATCTTTTATTTTCGAGTCCTCCATGGAGTAATTAATTTAATTATCCAACATTTTAATTTCAGGTTGAGATTGGAAGTTCTGTGTCTGCAATCCAGTTAGTGTCATAGGTACATCTTCTCCCTTCACCGTAGACAGAACATAATTGCACAATTCTCACTTTATGATCACTACCAGCAGCCCACACTCAAACCAATCTTGGTATGCTCTAGTGCCTGTCAGGATAGGCTAGCAAAGTTCTCACTGCCTACGATACAAGTTAGCTAGACTTGGTCCCCTGTAAGTCTTGGGCACTCTCCTATCCCCTATGGTCAGACCAACACTATTTGCTCCTCGCCTGTATGGTGGCGTATTCAACCTCTTTCACAATCATAAACACAAAGCATATCATAGCCAATAATTGTCCACTAGGTACATTATAACATCTCTATTTCAAGAGAACAATCAATTACATGAACATGTTTAACAATCAAAATTTTCCAGATTTCATAAACTAACTCGTAAAATTCATAACTAATTCAATACAAGTTCAAACATCATGAAATCACCAATATTTTTTTCCTTTAAATGTCTACTATAATATAATATTACATTCAAAATTCAAGCACTTTAAAATTTCATTAAACCTCAATTCATCTCTGCTATTCTCAGATTAATTCACTAAACAGCCAGCACATTAAAAAATTTATAATAAATTCATTTTTCATCCAAAATACATGAAACAAGTGAGTTTATTCTACTTAACATATATATTTTCATTTAAAAATACTTTCAAAATCAAAATATTCACAGATATTAGTTCGTGCTTCAGTTTCTCAGTTCATGTCACAGAATGGCACAATTCAACAACAGCATATTGGAAAAATCATAAATCATTCAATTCATCACCAAAACTCATTAAATTAGTGGCATCCTTTTAATTTGGTTATCTAGTTTCACGGAAAAATATCATTAAAAATTTTTAACTTCCAGATTCCAGATTAAGCCCTAAAGATTTTCTATTACTCACACTAACGCACTTATCAGAATCAGCTAATTAGAAAAGTCATAACTATTTTATTTTAAGTCCAAAATTCATCAAACCAATGAGGATATTTCTCTTATAGTCTCTATTTTTACACAAAAATAACAATAAAATAACGCCACTTATACATTTTAAAATGAAAGGATATTTCTCAGTAGCATGCACAAAATGTTACCCTCATACAACAGCACTTTGAGAAAATCATAAGTAATTCATTTTAATTCCAAATTGATCAAACTCAGTGAGCATATTTTTCTCATAAATTATAGTTTAATATAAAAATATAAATAAAATACAATTACACTTGAATTATAAGAATAAAATGATTTAAAGTACGCAGTTCTCAGAAAACATTTACACATAACCGAATATTCAATAATTCATAACTATTTTATTTCAATTCCAAATCAAATGAAACCAGTGAGTATACTTCCATTGAGAAGTATATTTTCGTAGAAAAATGTCAATAAAATAACTCTCTAAACACACAATGAGACGAAAATAAGTCAAGATATACTGCTCCAGAATACCATTTTCATGCAACAGAAATTTATAAAAATCATAACTAATTAAATATAAACCCAAATAAAATAAACCCAGCTGGAAAATAATATAAATTTTACTATCTTCATGAATAAAATACTAAAAAAAACACTTTTAAAGATTTTCTCATATTTTACATTATTTACACTTTAATCCTTATATTTTTTATTAATTAAGAAAAGGTCCTTGTCTCCAATTTGGTAAGCATCAAATTGTCCATTATGTCTTCCATGTGTTCAAGGTTATTAATTCATGTCTAAATATGGTCCAAATCATTCTCTTGGTCCTACCACACATGTGGATAAGGATCTTGCATATCTAAGGTATTTTTGGTCCAAGTCCATGGTATCTTCCTATTTTTTTTGTTTTTAGGTTCAATCTTTCAAATTTATTATTTTAAAGCTTGTTCTCATCATTTTTTCATGTAGTCCATAGGTCCAAATATGTCCAAAAGTCCAAGGGTCTTCATCATAGTCACTTTCCATTTTTAATCAATTTCCTTTTAGGAGTTTCTTTCATAATTTTTTCAAAAATACTTTAGAAATTTATTTTGACTCCAAAATAATTTCAATCAAAAGAAGATCATGAATCCAACTTAGATATCATCATAAGAATAAGTCACAAAATGAAACATGCAAAATTTTCATACAACCAACTACATAGCAAGCAAAATCATCATCAAACACTTTGTGGTTCTTAGTGATTTTCATGCATTTATTTATTTCAATCAAAATTTTAATCATGGGTTCATCAACACACACAACTTCAATCACAACCAAAAGGGTTAAGGCTCCCCTTGACTAAAAACCATTTAAACAAGGTATTCCCCTTGATTATGAAAAGTACCCTCCCTTTACTTGGTGTTTTTGGGTTGATCTTGCCTTGATCTTTGGGTGATCCTTCTCTTCTTTCCTTTTGCTTTATTTTACCTCTTGGAAATGAGTATCTCCTTCCTTGGCCTCCTACTTCCTCGAGTGCCAAATATTATACAAAAAGAAAGTTGGGAGCTTGGTTGATTTTGTGGGGTATCTTGGTGTTTTTTGTGGGATTAAAGGCTTGATTCAAGATCCTTATGATAGGGTATTAGGTGATCTAACTTGTAGGGTTCAAGTAAAATGTTTGAGATGAACTTGGATGTGTATAGAGAGAATAGAGATGAAGAAGAAGTAAAGAGCTCTTGGTTGCATGAGAATTAGAATAAGAGTCTTTTTCTCCTTCATGCATGGCTTTATATAGAAAATCTCTTCATGTTGGCCCACTCTCATGCATCTCACGGTTCCATCCTCTTTCACACAAGTCTTAATTTTCAATTTTGGTTCCTTTTTGGCTTTTTCTACAAGCCTATTCATGTGCACATGTGTAAATGTCCAAAATTGCCCCTTTTTTTATAGTTTTGTAATTCTAGTTAGATTTTAACTTTCCTAGTTCCATTTCAATCATTCCAATTAATTTTTGAAACCTATTTAGTTCAAATTCAATGGCCATGGTCATGGTCCAATTAGATCCATTGGATGAGGATTAGTCCACAAATTATTCATCATTAGCCTTATCTTCTAGAATACTTATCTTGTTGTTTTGGCTTAATTTCATTGGTTCTTATGGAATATGCTCATCTAGCTGAGATTAAACCATAAATGACCTTATCCCTTAATCATGATTAGTCTCACATGGCTCCTTACTACTATTTCTAACCCACTTTCTTTCATATACACTTGGTTTTTGGGCCTCTTTTTGGGTGATTTTTAGGTAATTTCTATACATAGTCTTTTGGCTCCATACTTGCAAGTCCATAACCTCTATACATGGGCAGTCTATCATAAAAATTTCATAATTTATCTCCTTCATTTGCTTGTCCAAAATGGACCTCCATTCTAGGCATTTCTAGGGGTATTTTGGTCATTTTAGTTAAATTTTACAATTTTATTTATTTTCTATTTTTGGATCTTTATAAATTTCTTATAATTCATAAAAATATTTTAGATATTCTAAAATGTTAAATAAAATTTTTTATTTCCTTTTCATATTACTTGATTATTTACCTATCGGACTTGTTTCGATAAATTTTACTAAAAAAAATTCTAGTTCTCAAGTCTCTTTGTACTACTTACTTTTAATTAAATGAGGTTAACATAATACAAAATCATTTATGAAAAGAGAAAAATTTGGAGTGTTACACAAACTAAATAGAGTTAATTTTAATTTTAAAATAATAAGTTTAAAAAATAAATGATTTAAATATAAAATAAGTTGTATTTGCAAGTATTTATGGATTTAGGGTTTAGGTTTTGATATAAAAAATAACTTAACTTAATCAAAATTTTATAGATTGTGTTAGTTTTGAAGAAATTTTCTTCACCTAACCCAAATTCATCCGATTGCTTATAATATTATATAAAAAAAATAAAATTTTATATATAATTGATGATTCAATCTCAACATCTGAAATAATAAATTTATTAAAAATAAATAAAAAATTATTTATTATAAAACATAATATAATACTAAAAATTTAATATTTATCTAAAATAAAAATTTAATAAAATAAAAAATAAATAAACTTCAACAACTTCTAATAAATTATAAAATATAAAATTTAATACGTGATTAGTCTCTATAAATATAATATATTTTATAATAAATTTTTATTTTTTTTATAAAATTTAATTTTTATCGACTATTTTTATAAAGTGTTGAACTAATTAATAAAAAATTAACTCAACATATTATTTATTTTTTATTTTTTATTTTTTAAAATAATATTTATAAATAATTCTCTAAATATATTTTATATCTTTGTAATAAATCTATCACCTCTTCTCCTTCCCGTTTTCCCGCTGCCCATTCCTAACCCTCACTCCCCCACCCCGTTCCCCACTCCCACTCCCACCCTCCCCTTCTCCAATCCTACACTCTCCCTCACCAAATTCTGCACTTCCCACCCTCAACAGTAAGTCACATTAATCCCATGCTTGAACTTTCCAAGCTTTTGCAACAATAAAGGGTGAGAATAACACTCGTCACCACGTGTTCTTACTCCAAGAACTTCCACAACTTCCCAAAGTGGCTCCCACTTGAAACCATTTCAGATGGATTTGACAATGGTGGCCTTGAAGAAGCAGGGACCACTGGGCCTTGGAGCAAGTTGGCCTAAACAATCTTGTTCGCCTCATTGAGAGACTGGTGGGTAGATTTGACCCATATGATTGTGTTATTTATGATTCCACACTACCTTGAGCTCCAGAGAGTGCAAAAGAGAGTTGGGATTGTTGGTGTTGTTTATCTCACTCAAAGTACGGTTGTCAATACTATATTCTACAGTATGAGAGTGGGAGAGGGAAAGGAGAAGGGGTTGAAGTTGGGAGCGGGGTGGGGTAGCGTGAATGGGAACGGATCATAGGAAGGACCTTTTTACAAATATTTAAAATATATTCAATAATTTATTTATAAATATTAATTTTAAATAATATAATATAATATAATTAAATAATATATCATGCCACTACGTAAGAATACTAAATTAGCTCTTTATTAGTAAAAATAATTTTTAATAAAAAAATTAATAATATAAACTAAATTTTAACTTTTTAATATATTTATTAATAAATTAATTTTTTTTATAAAAACTTAAAATAAAATGTCCTATATTATAAAGACTAATAATGTATCTAAACCTAATTTTTATAAAATAAATATTTTATATTATTTATTTAGCTATTTTGCACAAAACTCATTCAATAATTTTTTTTACACAAGACTTAAATTTAAGTTTTGTTTATAAAAAAATCTAAGACTTTTTATAAAGAATAAGATCTTTGTTGACTATAATATTAATGACATTATGCTGTAATTTGAATAATTTTTTAAGAAATATTATAAAAGTCGAAAATCAAATAGTAATATGAATCAATTTCTTATAAATTAAAATTAACATAAGTTTCACTATTTATTTAAAATTTCTCTCATTTAACTAAGAAATATAATTTATTTTTACCTTATGAGAAAATTTTTATAATTTTTTATATTAACTTTTTTTCTATAAATATTTATTTAGAAATTTAGTCAAATTAGACCTATGTTAAGATATTATATAACTAATTATATAACTAATTATAAAAGCATTTTAGGAGAATGAGTTGATAAATATTTTGAGAAGTGACTGTTATTATTCTCAAGCATCTATTATCACTTTTATTTAAATATTTTTTGTCTAAAATATATCAAGTTTTGACGTAATGTACGGATATTTTAAAACTGAAATAAATAAATAAATATTTCGGTGCATTGCATAGTTATTTTTAATATTAGAATAAATTTATAAACAAAAATTAAACAAAATAAAATATTTTTATTAATAAAAATATAGTAATAAAAATATTTTACTATATTAAATGAGACTAAATTAAAGAAACATGAGTTTTATACTTAAAATTTATTGACATATTAAATACATACACATCTTAATAACTTGTTATTAAATTATTTTATATTACTTTTACCATCATATATATCAAATTTAAGATAATTTAGACATTTGTAAATATATTATTAAAAATTTAATATTAATTCATTTTCAATAACACATCACACAATAAAATAAAATAATGTAATAAAATATTTTTTTATTTCATTTTTTATAAAATTTTATAAAGTTGATTTACTTGATAAAAGCTTTCAATTAGGTATAATATATCAAGAATTAATAATAAAATTAAATTAAAAGAAGCTATATTTGAAAGAAATACAACAACAATAATAATAATAAATAAATAAATAAATAAATAAATAAATATTTAATAATAAATTACGTTATTTAACATGGATAAAAAATATAATTTGTAAAAATGTTCTGACTCAAGAATAAGAACTCAAATTTGTAATATAAAAATAAGTTAGAAAGTAAGATATTATTTTACACTATTTGTATTTATTTTTAATTTATGGTTAATATTATTTGTTTATATTTTTATTCATTTTGTAGTCTTTTAAGAAACATTAAATGAGTAATTAATAGTATTAGTTTTGGAAAAAATAGAAATTACATAAAAACTTGATAAATCATAATGACTCGTTTATACTTTTCAAAACACATGAATCTACTAATATGTTTTGTTTTTTTTTTAATAATATGCAGGACTTGCAATTAATTTATATTTATTACAATCATATACTTTTGGTCATTATTCTAAGACTATGCGTTTCTAAATTTATTTTAGTAACATATAATTATATTCTTTATGCAATTATTGTTATTTAAAATTATTAAGCTCACAAATAAGGTGAATAATAAAAATTGTATTTTTACTGTGATCGTAACGACGCTTTTTATTTAATAAAAAAACATAACCTAATTTGGTATTTATATATCGGTGATTTAAAGCAAAAAAGAAAAGTACAGAAATAAGCTTTATACTAAAAAGAAAAAGAATAAAATTATCTTCACATTTATTTAAAATATAATTACAAAAAAAAAAAAATTCGAAATGCTTGCATACAAAAATTGTATTCATCCAATGAATTTGTACAAATTTTTAATTAAAAGGAAGAGAAATATGTGAGATAAAATTATTGGCATGATGGAAAAGGAAAACAAAATATGTTAAAGACAGAAAACACAACAGAGTTGCGAACAAAAGCAACACAAACAGATAAAAACCACAAATTGAACCAATAGCATAGAGAAGAGAAACCAAAAACCATAGGAAACAACACCGAAAGGACCATGGAAATGCATGTGACCATGGAAGGCATCTTTGAAAGGTGAAAAACGCTGCCACGGAAATGGCTTTTTTTAAATCGAATCATGAAAATCCGAGCTAAAAACCTAAGATCCAAAGGTGAAAGATCACGATTCTAGCCGATCCTACAAATTCAAATCCTACATATGACTGAGATCACACAGTGGGGTAAAGAACATAGGATCACACAATCTAAAAGATTAAGATTGCGATTTTGATAACACTGTTTTCAAGGATTAACACAGAATGCTACAAACATAAAAAAGAATTGAAGAGAACTACACATGATTTAAGACTAATCTGCAGGTGAACATCTTAATCAAATTAATAAGACCCCGAAAGCCTATTAATTTTCTAAAACAAAAATAATTTTCTCTAAGAACAGTATTTAAGTGCAATTCTTTATGCATTTTTAATGTTATCCTCTAATTAAAATTAGAGTTCACCTAAGTATAAGATGACCAAAAAATGTTATCACATTTTATGATCGAGGTGAAATGGTAATTTTCATTGAAGAATAGCGCCAAAATAACTATAGAACCATAGCTAAATTTGTTCAAACTAGTTGACCCAAAAAAACCTACTTCAAACCAGCTTTGGTGTCTTATTTCATCACAGAAGTAATTCAATGCCACAAAGTTGAAATCATTTATTTATAAATCAAACATAGAAGTTGATAATTTCAGAAGTTCAAAGAAAGAACCTATAGAGGACTTTCCACACATACTTATCCAATCAACAGATATATGAGCAAACCTAAATGCCAAACATCAAGGAATATACGAGTTCAGTAACTAAGCAGTCAATGTCAATTGTTCATAGCACAAATCCAGAGTTGAAAAAGGCAAGGGCAATAGGTTTGGTATGCAATTTTAGAGACACGTTCTTGTTTCCATCAATGGAAATTATTATAATGGGAAATTAAGAATGCCTTGTCCTCATCATCTCACAGATTTGCAATCAACCAGCCATTAAACTGTGGTTGACCATTAGTATGGCCTGTAATATTGCATGGGTCGGCCAAACCTTGGAAACCTTCTGCACATCAAAAGGGTATAACCATCAGATAACAGAAGATTGAAGGAAGATGCTCAATATAAATTTGTCTTGTACCCCACCATGAGAACTGTTGGCATTTTTCATTAATATTGTTGCATTGGAACAAATAACTTTTTTTTAACTTTCAGAAATGAAAACACTCTTTATCACTCTTTCTAAAAAAAATCATGTAAGTCTTACTTTTAATTTAATGATTCTCACTCCTAATTTAATAATTATCTCTTGCACTTTCGTAATTTTCAAATAATTTTATCCAATAACTAAAAGTGTGTTAAAGAGTGTATTCCTAACACTCCTCTTTAACTTTTGGCCCTTAAGTTGAGATTTAAAAAATTGAAGGTGAAGGGACCTATCATTAAAAGTGTTAATGTGATAGTAACAAATCCTTATACTTTCTAATTGCACTGGTCAGACGAAAAGCACCGGTTCAAGAAAAATTATTTTGTTTAAATATGTTTTTAGTCCTCACAAATATAGTTTTATTTTATTTTACTTTTTCAAAAAGAAAAAATAGCTTTGGTAATTTACAATTTTTGAAAATAATCACTATTTAATGACGACATGAAAATACATTTTTTGGTGACATGTGATGTGACATAGCTAAATGCTTGTTACATCATTATTAAGTGAGAACAAAAACTATTTTAAAAAAATTGTGGGGACCAAAACTAACTAAAAATTTCTGAATAATCAATATCAAAGAAATCATATTTATAGGGACTAGAAACATATACAACCTAATATTTCACCTTTCTAAGACATCAAATTTACACATGACAAAAGCAAAGATAATTGAAAGCAACACAAGCCATTATCAATATCCAAGGTAAATCTGATAATCGCTTACCCATAACCAGGTTGAGGATGGAATGAAGGCCTTCTATATCTTGAAGCAAAAGGTCTTCTCCCAGAATACTGTTTCATTCCAGGAATGTTTGTACGCTTGGCACAGACCTGAAGAGCACACCAGAATTTTAAGTAAAATTCAAACACAAATTATTGGAGTGACTAATTGCATTTACAGTGATTATCCATTAAAGACCTTCAGTTTCCGACCATGCAGTTCTGATTCATTTAAAAAGAGAGCATTGTGAACAGCATCAACCTCAACAAACTCAACATAAGCAAATCCTTTTGGTTGACCAGATATGGTCGTCAGAATTGTCACTCTGTTCACAGCTCCACATCCTTGAAAATGTCGCCTGATTTCTTCAGATGTACATGCATAGTCAACCTGAATTATAATTAAGTGTTAATGAATCACATTATTCAGTTAAAAATTTACAAAATTATATGAAATAACAACTGCCCAGAAAAAAAATTCAACATGCATTAGAAATGTGATTGTAAGATGCACTAGAGCCTGTCGCAGTCAATTTATCAAATACATAAGCGTGTGATTTTGTGGAAGCAGCAAGAGGGACATAACAAGATTAAAGAGATATTAAGCATTAACACATAGTATGGACCAGATATAATTAGACACACAGCAAGGCAGGGTATGAGTATTCATTTTTTCCTGGTTATTAACCTGTGGTTATAGCAGCTTCCACCTTTTATTTTAATGACTTTCAGGTAAGAGAATGAAGTCATTTTTGGTAGCTTAATTAATAATCAATGTAGATCATATGGCTTACTCAAAACAATGGAGATTAAACTAATTTCAGCAGCCAAGAAGCTCATTTTTTAAGAATCTAGCATTCAATTCCATATTAAAATCTGCAGCCAATAAAGCAACTCGCTCAGCCAGATAACATTTTTCTATTCAAGAGAAAAACAGAAGCATATTGTTGGAGACCAATTAGTAGTGGACCAGTGAAATAGACCTAGGACCTTAAAAAAATATGAGACGTGTGGCTAGTGAGATTGCATCGATTGAATTGTTATGATTTTTACTGTTTTGCATGAATCAACGTGGGAGGGGGAAAAACATAATAGATTAATAATTACATAAGAGTGAAGAGGAGGAGAGAGAAGGACGTCTGTTTATTTTAGTATAGCTTCAGCTTTAGCTTGGGTAGAGGTTTTCCTGTAGTCTATACTCTGGGTAGGGAATTGACCATTTTAGTGTAATTCTGCAACAGTTTTCTATTGTTTTAATACAGTAATATCTTGGTTTCCATTATACATGAAAGGAAAAACTAACAAACTTTAAGAACATGATAACATGCTTTTTTGGCTCAGGCAAGGCAAGCCTCTAGCATATGCAAGAGGCATGCAACTCACTGTAGCAGAAAAGATTCAACAACCCCTTCTGGTTTTTTGTGGCACCTTTGGCTACACTCAAAGGAATCGGATTTATAGACAAGCCAAACTCATATCTATGGGGAAAAAAGGTTAAAATGCAGACTACAAAGCAAAATGGTAAGATCTGCACTCTTCAGCCACTCTATCACCTAGGAGTCATGCATAGATGATCTTTTTTGCTACTCTAATATATTTGGCTGCAATCTTTCAATTGTGATGCCAATCAGCTTTCCTTGTGCTTATCAGAAACTCTTAATTTTGTCAATCCAGCCTTACTCTTGTATTGTTTTTTTCTATAATTGACAAAAGTTTTGGGAGAGTGTAGGCCACCTGACAGACAATTAATTACTGCCTGATGGGGGAATATAAGGGGAGGAGAAGAGCATCAGCACTGAGGAACAACAATGAGAAAATCATGAAAGAATATTCACTTGTGGACCAAATTCCACTAATAGGGTCCGAGCATTATAGAATGGAACACAAGGCGATGGGGAGAGAGGAATAGGTTGGAGGAGGGATGAAAGAAGAATGAGGACTTGGGAGGGACATCACAGGTCTCGAGAATGACATGGTATCTTATTTTTAATGGAATTACAGAGGTCTACCTCTGTTACAGAGAGCCAGTCACCATCACTCCACAAGTATCAGATTCCAGTCAATTTGATATCAAAGCACTAGATATTGGAGGAGCTGTTCATAGTGGTGAATTTGAAGATGATTCCAACATTTGATGGGAGGAGGCTTACTATAGGTTGCTCAACGTTGAGGAGCACTTCAGTGTGACAGGAACACCTGAAGTGGAGAGAAGCTACCAAAGGCTATGAAGACTCTTGAGAGGTTCTGCTCTCAACTAGTGGCTTGAATGGTAGTTTTTGTACGGTCACAGTGGCAGTGTTTGAAGCACAATACAATGCCAAAGAAGCACAAATACAGACACAAAACACTAATACAGTACAATACAGTCACAGGAATTCAGCAAATTATAACAATTAAAGAATACAACACGATTATAATATAATGTGTAAAATTAATATTAAATTAAAAAATATTAAATGAGGAGAGAATTTGTGTTAAAATGAACATGAGTCATTGTGGGTAATATAAAATGTTTAATTTTATCTAATTATTGTGTTATTCCAATTTGTAATGCTGTACAAGTTTTACAAACAAAGTGAAATTTTTTTTAAAACTGAAACTAAAAGTTTTTGAAGTGTCCACACAGTAGTGTCTAACACAACTACTATTTAGAAGTATCTGGGCCTCTTGGTGTTGGTTGAATTTCACCGCCCTGATGCGTATTCACAAGATAAATAGGTGAAACAGTTGAATGCTTTGAGGATTTTAGAAGTGGAGAGAAATGGTGAACCTGTGTCTGCATGGGAAGTTCTAGGAAGGGGAGGGTAGGGCAGAAGTCAAGCTAGATTGCTTTCCACAACAAATGACCAAAAAGTCGTGATCCCCTAAGGGGAGGGCAAGTGCACGAGCATTATGGGTTACAAGTGTCAATGTTTAAGTGGACCTCGGAATTAGATTGGATTTATGGCTCATTGAGCAACCAGAGGTCCAGGTGCGTTGGTCCTAGATTTTGAGCATTCTTGGGCTGAGTCAAAACATTTGGCTCTCTATGCTATACAAGGTTGTTTAAATTGTGTGTTAGCGCATTTGATCATCCACACCAAGTTTCTTCAACATCTGCATATTGTGCACTACTGTGGAGCGACATGGAGTGTAGTGTATCAATTTGTTGAATTGGACTGCAGCAGCAGCACTCCAAAATGAGTCATATTGAGTGTGTGAAGCAGGTCAGGTTGTGCAACCCATTCTTAATGAAACCTATTTTGAGTCCTTTTTCAGACCATCCAGCCTCTTTACCAGACCACATGCCGTCTTTTCTCCTTCTTTGTGTGGTTGTTACCCAGCAACAACTCCCTGTCTCGTCTCTCCCTATCACTACAATTCTGCATGCAAACCCCTCTCCCAAAACACCCAACCTCAGGTATGGTGTGTGATTGCTGCTTGGTTCTGTCCACTTCTCTTCTTTGCTTGGTGCTGCATGTTCTGTGTTGCTGTTGTTGGAATGTTGTGTTCAAGTTTGTGTGGTCTCCACTTCTCTCTTGTAGGCTTGTGTTAGATGTTTTAGGCTTGATTATTGTCATTGATACTTTGGTTTAATATTATTGGAGTCAAGTGTTAATTAGTCCCACATGGAATGAGATATGAGCAAGTTAGGAGTCTATAAGGAGATGGACCCAAGCACCTATTGCCTTAAGGTTTTGAGATTGCATTGTGGTGTCCTACTCATTGTAAGGCTCCCTACTCAAACTTCCCAACTCAAAAGTGCACCGTAGAAGAAACAATAACACTCTATGAGCCCTAGTAAAGAACTAGTGGCACCCACTTGTGGAGGGGTGTGGAGTCCAAAAAGTATCATTGAGTGGACGGCAGCGCACGTGGAAGAGAGTAAGAGTTGTTTTAATGTAAACCATGGATACTTGTGGATGAAAGAAATTCCGCTGCAGAGGGAGCCAATATAATATCACTAAATCTGGCCAAAAAAATCCTACAATTTCAAGTGCAACTAACCTAGCCTTGTGGATTTCCCAATGTAACTTGCCTAGTTCCACCACTTTCCCAATACTACCTATAGCACTCTCTGTCAGCGCACAGAACCAAGAGCCTCCCTCTCTAGGCACACACTGCCTCCCTAATCATTTCCTTCCATTACTAACTTCTCTCTCTTCCTTTCCTATATAACTGACTCCCTTTTCACATGTGCCTCCTTTCCCTTCCTTGTGTACACATGCCAGATTTTGGGCCTTGTTACTTGACTCACTAATGGGCTCACATCGGTCACTTCTCCTTCAAACTCCGTCTTGTCCTCAAGACTGAAAACTGGAAATTGACTTCTAATTAGAAACTCATCTTCCCAAGTAGCTTCTTCACTTGGTTTTCCTTTTCAATGAATCAAAAGCTGCTGAATTCTTTCACCTTGCTTAGTTAACACTCTCTACTTGCTAACACGGCTTCTAAAGCATAATGCTCTTTCACTTTCACTTTCAAACCAGTAGGAAACATTGTCTCCACTAAGTGATTAGTTGAAGCTTCTTTTAATTTTAACACATGGAAAATAGGATGAATTCATGAGGTCTCAGGTAGCTGCAACCTATAAGCCACTTCCCCCGTGGTGACAACTTTTGATTAATTTGTTTGGCCACCGAATGCTGCCTATAAGGTCTCAGCTTCACAAACACCATATCCCCCACTTCAAAATGCACATCATGTCTATTTTTGTTACCATATTTCTGCATCAGGTTCTGAGCCTTCAATAAATGAAACTTGAGTGGCTTGAGAGTCTCATCACAATGAACTAATTCCCTTGCTACAGCCTCACTCAACCTTCACCTCACCTAGAATGAAACAGGTCACAGCGGAAGGACTTCTACCATATAATGCTTCAAAAGTTGTATTGGTAGAATTAGGATGCTCTGCCCATGGCAACCACAGAACCCAATGTTGAGGTTGTTCAATTTTGCCATACCCTTCAATGAATTTTCAATAATATATAGTCAAACCCAAGAATCCCCGAACCTCCTTGACATTTTTAGGAGTAGGCCACATCCAAATAGACTGAAACTTACTTGGATCCATAGCAACCCCCTTTCCTGAAATAATATGTCCCAAATATTCAATTTGAGACCTCTCAAATTGACATTTCTTCAAATTTGAAAAGAAATTGCCCTGCAACAGAGTAGACAGCACTATCTCCAAGTGTTTCATATGTTGCTGCCATGTATGACTGTAAACAAGGATATCATTAAAAAAGACCAGAACCATCTTCCTCAACAATTGCTGAAACAAGTCATTCATAGCCACTTGGAACGTAGAAGGGGCATTTGTTAACCTGAAAGGTATAACCATGTACTCATAGTGCCCATCATATGTTCTAAAAGTTGTTTTATCTATATCTTCCTCCTTCATCCGGATTTCAAGTCCAATTTAGAAAAATAATTGGAACCGTGTATCTCATCCAATAATTCCTCAACAACCAGGATAGGAAACTTGTTAGATACTATTACCGTATTGAGTGCCCGATAATCCACACACATCCTCCAACTTGCATCTTTCTTCTTAACTAGAATCACCGAACTAGAGTAAGGGTTGTTACTTGGCTGAATCAGACCTTCGTGGAGCATTTCTTTCACTTGCCTCTGTATTTCATCTTTGTGATAATGGAGATAACGATATGGTCTTACACTCATTGGTCCTTGCTCTGAATTTAAGGATATCAGATTTCCCCTTTTTGGTGGCAACTCTTGAGGCTTGTGAAACACCCTTGAAAAAGCTTCTAACAAATGAGTAAGTTCCTTTTGTTGCCCTTCAGACCACACCCACTTTGATTCCCCTACAATTTTCTCAGACGAGCAGTTTAACTTCTACAAACTAGTCACTTGGGTTTCCCATCAAGCTTCTGAAGGACAAATTCCTGATCACTTTTCTGCCACAGCCCCTTAATTCCACCCATTTCTCATCATTACAAAACTTCATGATCAATTGATCCCAATTGTACATGAAATCTCTTAATGTTTTAAGCCATGCAACTCCTAGTATCAAATCAATCCTCCCAAGTCTAACACCCAGCAACAACATTAGAGTGGTAACCTCCCACCACAACTTCCACTCCAGCACATTTCCCTTCTGTTAGCACCTTACAACCGTCCCCTAAACAAACCCTCATAGATTCACAATGCCCATGACAATTGAGCCCAAGGGATGACTCCAATTTAGGAGAAATAAAATTATGTGTTGCACCACTATCAATCAAAATTCCCCTTACTTCCCCTACTAATTTTTATGTTTTTAAAGCACAGCCCCTACATCTGTCGTTTCAAAAAATTCTAGAATTCGACTAGTAGCCAGCACACTACATTCTGCCTCTACCGTTTCTTGCTCCACTTTAGCATCCTCCACCTTTCCTTCCCCTTCGTTCGATAACCACTCATCCTCTCCCAATATAAGCACTCTCAATTTGGCAATTGGACATTTGTGTAATGGTCCATAACGCTGACCACATAGAAAGCATAGGCCCTTCCTTCTTTCTTTGTTCTTCCATGTCTTTGCTGGTCAGATTATACACTGTGCTTCTTAGTATCAAAAACAGAGTGCTCTCTTCGATTTGGTTGAGGAATAGCAGCAGCACCTTCCTTAAGCTTCACAGCGCCCCACCCGCTTTGGTTCCACTGTCCTACATTCCATCGTGGAATTGTGTTTCAGGAAACACGATCACCTTGTTTGTGCAACGCCAATTCCAAATTGCAGGTTAATTGCATTGCCTTCAAGCATGTCGTAGGGTTATGAACACAAACCCATGAACGTATGTTCTCCTTCAAGCCATTCAGAAAATAGCCTACATATTGTTGCTCCAGTTGACAAGGAACTAACGCAACTAATACTTCAAACTCCTTGATATATTCTTGAACTGAGCCACGTGCAGCAAGTTCTTCATAAGGATTCTGCACCTCCAACCCACTTACCTCTCCATTAGCTCATTCTTGAATTGGTCCCATTGTAGATCAGGATAGACTTCCAAGAGAATAGTGAACCAATGAACCTCTGACCCATCCATACACACCTGTGCCACATTGGGATTTGCAATTCTGCTGCAATTTGATTGATTTGAAAACACATTTCCACCTTCGTAAACCATCCACGAGGAACCGCTCCATCAAAAGCCAGCAACTCAACTCGTTTGGCAATAATCTAAACATCGTTAACAACCCCGAAACGATCATAATTCCAACCCACGGATTCCTCATCCTTGTTGTCCGCCACACAACAACCATTTTCCTTAAGCGATTTCACAATGAGTGCGTGAAATTTGGACTGCTCTTGTTGCTCCTTCGATATCATGTCTTGTAAACCCGCAATCATCGCTAGCAATTTCTGCACTGTTGCTTCTATCGATCCCAAATGTGATTTGTTTGCTTCGACACGATCTTGAAGACGGGTCTCCATTCGCATCCAGCAGGTCGAACCAATGTTAGGTTCACCAAACACAAATATAACAAATAATTGTAAATAACAGAAGAAATCTGAAATGGTGTAATGTTAATGTATATGAAATGTATGATATATGAAAGAAGGTATAAAAGTAGCACTCTCTCTCAACTTATAGAACCAAGAGCCTCCCTCTCTAGGCACACACTGCCTCCCTAATCATTTTCTTCCATAACTAACTTCTCTCTTCCTTTCCATTATAACTAACTCCTTTTCACATGTGCCTCCTTTCCATTCCTAGTATACACATGCCAGATTGTTACTTGACTCACTAATGGGTCCATGTCAGTCACCCTAACATCCACACTCTAGATGTCCAAGGGGTGTATTGAAATCTCACATCGACCATAGATATGGCTAAACAAAAGCTTATAAAGGCTAAAGCAATCACCACCTTACAAGCTACCTTATGGGGTTGAGTTAGGCTTAAAGCCCAAATTCAACAGTTTAAATGTGATCAGAACTTATGTGATGACTCTTGGGTTTTATAAGACTTATGAATCTTTTTTTTATGGCAAGAGTCGTCAGACCTTATGAATCTTTAGTTTAATTAAATATTTGGTGTGAATTAAGGGTTATTTTCTTTACCTATGCTGATTGCCATTTGGTGTGATGTCAAATCATTATATACAGCAGAAAAGAAATGAAAAGGGGCAGAGTAAGGATATTTGAATCTCACATTTCCAACATAGATAGACCGAGAATCCACTTCCTCCTTCAAATCCTGAGTTGTAGATGAACCAGATGAACCTTCAAATCAAAAATAAAATAAAATAATCATTTAATAGAAAGATATAAATATTAAATACCTCAAATGTGTAAATAATATTTAACAAAAACCATAGAAATGAAAATGTCTTACTAATCACATATGCCTTGTACTGCAAAAATGATGGCAGGCATCTTGCACCACTTTAAATCCATATATTAAATTTAGCAACACAAGATTTATGAATAATGAGGTCAACTTACATCCAAGTATACAAATATCTAAACTATTGTATAACCCACTTAATTACATATTCATTTCACACACTTCCCTGGTCCTTCCTCTGTTCTCTCCACAATCCATTACCAGAAATTGCTAATGGGACCTGTTGTCTACAAAACTGATTATGTCATTGAAACTTTCAATCACAACCCCCCAGTCCTCTCTCCAATCTCCGTTTTTGTAACTGATATTGGGACGTTTTGATAAAATGTTCTACATCACAGTTTAAATCTTTTTATGCACTGCATATGTCATATGAAAGAGGACATCAAAGAAACAGACCAAAGATCCTATGCCTGCATGGTACAATATTTTTGTTGATAAAATTAACCAAACAAAGTTGGCTTTCTTTCCTATCAATAAAAAAAATTCATTTCAGCCTTAACATAAATTTCTGACAATCTCTTTATAAATTCTTATCAAGCTTTCATATCAGGTTGCATCCAAAGACAACTACAAGTGAGGAGGATTTGAACTGTGGGAGTATATCTGCCCAGCAAAATATAGCTGGATGTTACAGAAACACCAACAACAAGGAGTTAAATATTGTTCATGGACCAAAAAGAAAGAGAGAAGACAATATAAAAACTGTTTTTTTAACTATGATGCAGTATAGAAAGTCGGAGTAGTTAAGTTCATATCTATTAACCAAATGTAAACAGTAAGTTCAATAAACATTAAAAGGTATGCAAATATTCGACACACTAAGTATAGTTTCTTGAATGTACACCCATGCTAATACAACAGAAAGAAATTACATGGATACATATGCATGCATACTTATGCATATACATGCATGTATGTATGAACATGATTATATGAATGCAGCCTTCACTTTCCTATTTCCCCACATTGACAAGTTCTTCTTTTTCTTAAGTTGAGAACGCACAAGGCTCTGACCACTGTGGGGAGTGTTAAGTGTACCTATGTACACATCTTACACACACACAAGGTTGTTCAATGAGCTTTAACAAAATTTGCATGCTATAATTCACAGCATGAACATATCAATGTCATGTTGTAACCATATATCTTATCCATATTCTGATTCTCCAGATTGTTGATTCTAAAAACACAAGATAATATTTCAGAAGTAATAATAAAGAGATACAAGTAGGTTCAAAAAATCGGGGTTGATGATAATTATATCAACCTTAGTTATCTACAATATAAAGAATCCATCCTAATTTCCAAAAGCCTTCAACAAAAGCCAGCTTGGTGTTGTCTGGCACCAGTAAGTGTCTTTTAAGACTGGGGTATGCCAATGTCAGAAGTTTGATTTCGATCATAACTAAAAAAGTGTAGTTTCCATATCACATTTCATCTCATATTTAAGAAGAGTTTCATAATTTTAAATCCTTATTTGTAATTATGAAATATCAATTCCTACTAGACTTTGTTTTCCACAACAATCACTTTCCCCCAAAATCACCAATTGAATTAAAAAAAGCCCTAAACTTTCCTTATCAAATAAATTCGTTGGAAATAGTCTAAAACATGCTCATAGTCACACTGCCATGGCTCAATATTTCAGTAAGCACCTTTGATTGAAGAAGCACCTGCGATGGGTTGCATCGTCAACTGTGACAGCAGGATTGGTATAAGTAACCCTCAAGCGCTTCACCACACCACGATCGCAGGTGATCTTGGTGTTTATCGGTTATCTCCAGTTTATTTCTCCAACTAATCTTTGAATTCAAAGAGAGTAGAGCACAAGCAATCTGCAACTGCCAACAAATTAGAGCAATGGCGACATATATGGTTAAACAGAGTCCAGATATTCACAAAATAAAGCATACCAAGTACCAACACTGATGCAAAGGAACTTAATGCATGTATGACAAGGCCAAAGTGAAGGAAGAAAGAATTAGAGATTTACCAACACATGAGGCAGGACAGAAAGGAAATGATGAACAGCCCACCTTGAGAGTAAGACTGTCATAGGGGGTTTATATAGAGAAACAGTTCAAGCATGTTTCGACCGGTTCTTCGAGAACTTTAACCAGGCCAGCGGCTCGGTTCGGTTCATACAACTATGATAGGATCAATTCTAATTACCATCCCCATATGTTTTTTAGCACATTATCTCTCCTTTTTTGGTACATTATCTCTCTCCTTTTACAAAATAAAATGCATAATCTAACTTAAAGTTTAAAAAAGACAACAGAATCTCATCTAATTATTATTATGCTTCTAAGGACTTACCCAATTTTCAGCTACAACCATAAATGCAATCACAAAGACATACAAATTTCCAACTCAATCAAAATCTAAGAAATTAAAAAACAAATACATCCACACGTAACTACCTCAATATCTAGAAATCATTATTCCAAGGATTCAAAATAAGAATGTAGGATACCAAATTAAATCTAAAATTAAAGAAATACCAAATCATTCTAACACTTACAAAAGGTTATTATTTACAAAAGCAATTGAGTCAAAATCACAAAGACCATCAACTACAATTGAAATCACTGAATAAGGTAAACATATACAAGCCAAATAGGTAGACACTACAATCCAAAAAAAGCACAATACAAGGCTCGATGGTTAATGCCCCAATACGAGAAAGTAAATAAAACAACCCATCTCAACAAACTAGGTTCCACTCCCGAAATTATTCAACTTTTAGAAGCAAAACAATAATGGGCAGGCATTAAAAATAAAATATATTGATGGGTTACTTTCTGTTCATATATATAAATAAAGAGAGAGAGAGAGAGAGAGACCCTTTGAAGAGAAACCATCTGTTTGTCAACCTTGGATAGCATTTGGAGAAGGATTTGAGGGTGCCACCTTCCTGCCGTTCCTCGTGGTTTTCTGCTCGCGCTCATGCTTCTTCTTTCTCTCCCTCTCGTATTTGGGAACGTGCAAATGTGCTCACAGTCATGTTCTCAACCGTACCCAACTGATTGCCTGAACTTTGAGCCGGTGACCGCTTTTCTTGTTATGTAAATTATACTTAAAACTATTTTAGAAAAAATGAATGTAAAATGTAATATTATTAGGATGAATGTAAATTATAAATCATTACTGAGTCACAAAATTAAGTCATCCATCCATATGTCATGTTTTTTATTTTAACTTGGTCAGAAATTTATTTTCAATGTGGGTTAGTATTGTAATTAACTAATGAGTATTGATTGTATTGTATGAATATTTAAAATTTAGATAAATTGTAAAAGCATAAATCAAATGAAAATATTGCAAAATTCTAAAACTATAAGAATATGGTTGTTTTATCTTCTAAAAAATATTAATTTTATGTGTTACTTTTATACGAGTAGAATAATTTATTGATTAAATAATATAAAGACATTATATTTTTTTACTTTTAATTTATAATTATTTTTATTTTTATTAGAGTAAATATCCACTCTTTCAATCTGTAATGCACCAACAATTTATTCTTAAAATTTTTAAAATATTAAGTAAGTTCTCAATATTAGCCATAATTGATTATATTAGTTTTTATTATTATGTAACAGTTAAAAAAATTAATAGAGTGAAGCATTAATAGATTAAATAAAACTTATTATTATTACTAGGTATTTTACGATGAGAAGAACGAGACTTTTTCTCTCTCTCTTTGAAACCTCTTACACCATTTTCTATTAGGGTTTCTTCCAAAACCTTGACTACTATCCATTAATCTTGAGATTGTTTCCTAGCATCTTAAGGATGCTACCAAATCATCCACCCTCTAGTTTTCATGAACTATTTATTTTGAAATTGTATGAGGGTTAGGAGTAGATCTTTCTTTAAGTTAATAAATGATCTTATAGCCATTTATAGTCTTGATTTTATTGCCTATTTTTGAACCTACGGTAAGTGCTAAAAAAGCTAAGAATATTATTAATAAAATTAACTTTGATGCTTATAAGATAATGGATGCTACTGGTTTTTTAGGGGGTATTTGGTGCCTTTGGAATAGTAATAGGATCTCTGCTTCTCTTGTGACTAAATCTAAGTTCTTTATTTATCTTAAGATTAAAACCCATGATAATGAGGATTGGATTTTATCTTTTGTTTATATTAGCCCCTCTGAGCATTTTAGGGCTAGCTGCTAGAAGGAACTTTTAGATTTTAGCTTTTCTGTTAGGTGTCCTTGGGTTTTAGCTGGGGATTTTAACTCTATTCTTTATACTTTTGAGAAAGCGTGGGTAGACACCTTAATCCTAGGACCTTAGCTAGTTTTGCTAAATGTCTTCTTCAATGTGGCCTTTCTGACTTAGGGTTTAAGGGCAATTCTTTTACTTGAAATAAAGGTAGTCTTAGAGAGAGGTTGGACATAGGGGTATCAAATGATTCTTGGCATCTATCCTTTTCTAATAGTTATGTTATCCATGTTCGTCTGTTAAAATCTGATCACTATGACCTTTGGGTCAAAATTTGGAACTCTCGTCCCCATCCTAAGAATAATTTCAAGTTTAAGTTCTTAGCTCCTTGGTTGTCTCACCCTGACTTTCCTAACCAAGTGAAGAATTCTTGGATGTTATCAAATTCTTGGGTTAATAATATCAGAAATTTTAGGGTTACTATCTCTAAATGGAATAAGTCTGTTTTTAAAAATATTTTCTATAAGAAGAAACATATACTCTACAAAATAGAAGGCATATCCAGAAAATTAGGATTTGGTTCTAATCCTTTTCTTTCTAACCTGATGAGAACTCTTTGGCAGGATTACCAAGTCATCCTTGATCAAGAGGAAGCTTTTTGGTCCCATCAGTATAGACCTAATTAGTTATCCCTAGGAGATAGGAATACTAGATTCTTCCATAGAGCTACCAAAGGAAGAAGGGATAAAAATAAGATAGAAGCTCTAAAGGATGATAATCAAAATTGGGTTTATAATCCTTCAGAGCTGGAAGATATGGTAGTTAATTGCTTTGTTACCCTTTATTCTGACTCTCATCCTCAGGATTTTCACCTTGATATTATTTCTTCTTTTCCTTCCCTTATAGATTCTGAGCAAGAGTTTCTCTCCCTAGATGTTTCTATAGAAGAGGTTAAGTTTTCCCTATTCAGCATCGATAATTTTAAATCCCTAGGGTCTGATCGGCTTCATGCTCTATTTTTTAAGAACCAGTGGCATGTTTTGAGTTACCATATATAAAAATTTGTTTGAGTCATTTTTCAAGATCCTAGTCAAATCAAGGATTTTAATAAGACCTGCATTACCCTTATTCCTAAAACTGAGAGTCTTGAATCTATTAGAGAATTTAGACCTATTTCTTTGTGTAATGTTAGTTATAATATTGTTACTAAAATAATAGCCAACAGGTTAAGGGAATCCACACCCCATCTCATTTCTGCCAATCAGTGTAGCTTTGTTCATGGTAGATAAGGAAATGATAATGCTTTAACCCTCCAGGAAATCATTCATTCTTTCCATAATCTTAAGAGCATAATTGGTTATATGATTGTCAAACTTGACTTAGAAAAAGCTTATGACAAGCTTAGGTGAAATTTTATTGTTGATACTTTGGGAAAGATTAGTTTTAATTCTAATCTAATCAATCTTATTAAATCCTGCATTTCCTTCTTTTCTATAAAAATTAATTGGAATAGTAGCACAACTAGAACTTTTAAGCCTTTTAGGGATATTCGTCAATGGGATCTGATATCTCCTTACCTGTTTGTCCTCTTCATAGAAAGACTGACTCACCTCATCCAAGATAGTATCTCTAAGAAAGAGTGAGCCCTTTCCATTTTGAAGGCAATGACTTAGGGATCTCCCATCTCCTTTTTGCTAGAGCTGATTTGTCACAAGCTTCCCTCATTCAAAACATTCTCAATAGTTTTTGTTAGGCTTTTGGTCTAAAAAATAAATACTAGTAAATCCTTTCAATTTTTTTTTCAAGAATACTCTTACTGCTACTAAAAAGGAGATAAGTGCTTTTTTAAACATCAAATTCACTAGTTCCTATAAGTAGCCACAATCCTTCTAAGGCCCAATTCTCTTTTTTAGTAGATAAAGTTAGGAAGAAACTTGCCTTTTGGAAAATGAAGTCTCTGTCTTTAGCTGGCAGGGTTGTGTTGGCTCAATCCTCCATTATGAGCATATCCTTCTATGTCATGCAAACTATTATTATTCCCAAGGCCATCTATGAGCAGATAAATAGTCTTTGTAAGAAGTTCACCTGAGGTTCTTTAGGCACTAGAAAATGTCATCTTATTAGTTGGAAGAAAATTTGTCAACCCAAGAGACAAGGGGGTCTGGAGTTTAGAGACCTATACACCTTTAATAAAGCTTACATTATGAAGCTTTGCTGGAGATTTTTTTCCTCCCCTAGTGACTTATGGGCTCAAGTCTTATACAAGAAGTATAAGGTGTTTATTGGGCAAAATTTGGCTCTTAGGTCTACGAATAAGTATTCTCCTATTTGGAAAGGTATGACTGCTGCTTGGCCTCTACTTTATAACAGCCTAAATTGGAGTATTAGCAATGGTTTTTCTGCTAGGTTTTGGTTGAACCATTGGGTGCCTGGTTGTCCGAGGTTGGTTTCCTACTTTCTGTAACCTGTTACTGAAAGAGATTTAAATATTTCTGTGATATTTTTTCACCGCCCACAATAATTGGGACTTGAATAAACTTACTTCTTTGCTCCCCATGCATATATGCAGGCAAATTGCTCAAATACAGCCTCCTAATCTTTCCAAACAAGCATTATTTAGTAATGGCCTATTTTCCATCAAGTTTGCATACCTTCTAATCTCCCAGACCTCTGAACCTTCTCCTTCTGGCTCTGATATCTTTAAGCATGTGTGGAAGTAGGATGACCTTCCTAAAGTAGCCTTTTTTTCTTTGAAAAATCTTCCATGGTAGACTTTTCACAAATGAGGAGAGAGCTAGG